TTTTGTGATGGTCCTAGCTCACTTAATTAAGGAATTAAGAATTTGCTGTCGAGAAAGACTGTTCTGTGGAGTTTGTTTTTTTTTTATACCTTCACATCGCACTGTGTACCGAGAGGTATACCTACTCATACTCACTTCGTTTTTTTAGATTCACATCAATTTCTATAAATAATAATGAAGGAACTTTTTATAAGAAATAACCTATTTGCTGATTACTACGGTTGCAAATCTCATGCAACTGTCCTTTCGTCAAACACATTCTCCTTTTAAGTTAACACTTAAGTAGGCATAAGTACCTACTAACGTGAAATTTACTTAATTGAATTAATACAAAATACTAAGACTTTTAAAGGATAACAAAAAGAAACGTTCGCATCGAACAATATTCCTTCGTCTCGTTATGAATGAAACGAATTAAAAATAAAATAACCTATATTTTTAAAACAGAACCCCCCAGAACAGAAAACTCGACACGTCTGAAAGATGTAAAACTGTGTTGAAATGTTGCCGCGTCCATAATCGTAAAATATTATTGCTAACGACCGTTCAAAATCTCCCTCATCTCTTTGGTTCAGTATCTATGAGTACCATCATTTACATCAGCCTATTAATGTCCCCACTGCTGGGGCACAGGTCTCCCCTATGGATGGAATAGGGAGTTTGGGCCATGACCCACCACGCGGGCCCAGTGCGGATTGATGGGTGCTAACGACTGCAGATGCAGCCGGGACCACCGACTTAACGTGCCTTCCGAAGCACGGAGGAGCTCGAGATAGTATTATTTTTTGATCACCCATCCAATGACCGACCACTGCAAAACTTGCTTAACTTCAACGATCGCAGCCGAACGCCCTGAGCACTTGCGCCATCGAGCTCCTCTATGATTACGATATTCAATAATTCAATGCTTTGTAGTTTCCGTAAGTAGTCCTGACAACGTCATGTCTGTCTGTGTCCATCCGAGATGTTGCTTGAAAACCGTTTGCAATAGAGAGCTGTAATTTTATGGAAGTGTGTATATCAACCACGCGGACAAAGTGGTAGAATAAGATTTAAAAAAATGGGTAGTTCCCCCACATGTAGCGTGGGGATGTTTTTTTTGTTATTTTATTATGGTCTCAAGGGCGGATCCAGCTTTGGCGCCAGGGGGCGGTCATCTAGTCGTGGTCAAGTCACAGTGGGTACAGATTGGAAGTACAGATTGTGAAGTGGGTACAGATGGACCTAGCCCAGGGGGGGGGGGGTCATGGCCCCCATGACCCCCCCTCTGGATCCGCCCTTGTATGGTCTTCTATAAGGATGTCAGTTCCCCTGACGGGCTCTCCAATTCCAGCGGGAACTCCACTATGTCCTACGCCTCTTGAGTTTTGGATTATTTTTTACAGTTTTGTGACTTGTGTTAAATATAGGTGCATAATTTAAGTTTGACGACCTCCGTGGCCGAGTGGTTTGTACGCCGGGTTTCATGGTGTCGCTGACTCGAGAGGTCCCGGGTTCGAACCCCGGTGGACGCAGATGTTTGTGTGATGAATACGAGCATTTGTACTCCAGTCATGGATGTTTCATTTGTATTTCTATATAAAATATACTTATATGTTATGTATTCTATCCGTTACCCTAGTATCCAATAACACAAGCCTTACAGTGCTTACTTTGGGGCTAGGCTAATTGGTATGAGTCTTTGAAATATTTATTTATTTATAAGTCGTGTTTCCGAAACGTGAGAGAGTGGACTGGTGTCGCCGGCGTAGAAGACTTACTTCGTCTGGCACGAGACAAGGACAAATACGCAGAGCTAAAGGTTGACTAGTAGAGAATGCTTTTAGCATTAAATCCGCTTTGAGTACCATTTTCTATGTTAAAATGTAAGCAGCCACCCTATGGTGGCTGCTTACATTTTTTGGCTGCGGCTATCCGCATACATGCTCGCGAAAGTCACTCTCGCGCTGCCTATTACTAGCCCAATTCCTATAATATTACCAAAGCCAAGTCTCGACCTCGTAGAGTCTTGGAAACCGGGATTTAATACCCAATGGTTAAGCAACAGCTGATCATGAAATGGAATAACCGACGAACTGGCCCTAGCACGTTTTTCAGCCACATGGTTTCTTGAAAAAGAAAGACGAAATAGTGGTAACTCACAAAAGTGTCATAGACAAGAGAATGGACTGAACCATACTCGATTGCATAAAATTTACAACTGTTTGCAACAGCAGTTGAGTGTCGATAAAAGCTCTGACATATCTTAACGCAGTTCTCATGCCATGGGGTCTAGGCTTCACTATCGTTACCCCCAAGGAGGTGATAGTGCACCCCCTTGCACCACCTTTTCGTTGCCCATGCGCATATCCCCATTGGCCCTACATGTCATAGATCGAGGAAAGCCGCCTTAGTTAAAGAGTGTATTGCGAAATATACATCAGTATACTGGCCAGTGGTAATGACGTCACGAATCCGACGCCATATTGTACTGGTATGCTACCATATTTTTACCGGGAAAACGATTATGACTTATGACTGAGCGTGCGGGAGATGTATTCGAATTTTATTTCTTTTTTATTTAAAGAACAATAATGTCATTCGAACTAAAAGAATTCCTTTTAATTGTTGAGGTGGATAAAAAATCTTCTTTATTCGCACTATTTTTAATATTTCGTCGATTTATGACGTCAGTGCACTGGCCAATATATTTCGGAACAATTCACCAGTATAGCGTCGATTCATGACGTCATAAGCACTGGCCAGTATACTGGTTTATATTACGGAATACACCCTAAGTATCAGGATTTTTGAAAAACTATCCCTTTAGTCTCCTATAGGTTAAATCTTCAGTCGTGATCGAATTTACAACATCATCTGCGTACCGGCTTATAATAAATGGTAAATGTGCAGTGGTACATTAAGATGGTCTATGTGCCAAAATAATATTATAATATGCTATTTTCACGCACCCGTTGGAATTCTTTCCTGAGCTCCACTCGATTTATTGTGCGGTTTTAGTCACCGATATATTTTCGGATGGAACACAGTTAAGTGCCAGTGGTTTTCAATTATTTGGCTCGCGTAATGGACACTATCTACTAGATTCTTGGTTGGAACGATTATTCGACCTTACATTTTGAGAATCATCTCCCTCTAAATATATAAAAGAAGAAACTGACTGACTGATATATTAACGCACGGCCCAAACCGCTTAGTCTAGAGACTCCAAATTTGGCACGTAGGTTTCTTATGAGGTCTAGGGGAGCACTAAGAAGGGATTTTTCAAAATTAAAAATAGCGCATGAAAGTTTATGTGAAAAATGTTATTATACATTTTATGTAAAATATTAATATTATTTTCAATGATAAATTATCATCACGCACGATCCGTAACTTTGTAATGTAACTTTATTTTTATTCAAAGTATTAGTCTAGCTGTTTAAAGGGGGAACGCTGCTAGTATTTTCATAACCTTGCCTAAAGGGACTCATTTTAATAATATATTTTGCCTAGTACATTATATTTTTTAAGGTTTTTATTTTTAGGTTCATTGTTCTAGTAGAATATACATATTTTTTTGTGTGTAATTATTAATTTCTCTTTTTAATTTCGTGTGTACTTTATTGTTGCGCCATCTGTTGCAGAGTAGTTGTATTACTTTAACCACGTTAAATACTACCACCCCAGCCAACAACCACACCTGACCGATATTATAAATAAAATTGTATATAATATAATAGAATAAAATATTAAAAATACATAGATACATAATAACAAATGACTTGTAAATAAAAATTAATTTGAATAAAAATCTTTTTTTAACCATTGACACTCTTGAGCGATCCATTTAGCTAACTAAACCTGGTTTTCCCTTCGATCAACAATACTAAAAGATGGGCCAGCCCGTGAAATCCGTCTAGGTAAATATAGCCTCACTTGGGGCGTGAGATCTTATTTTTAATTAGTACGGTTAATACACAGCAAATGTAAACACGCGTCACGATAACATAGTGTGCATTCAAAAGTTACAAAAATAAGTACCAAACAAGCAATGTTACTGTTGTGGCATATCCACACATGCCGCCGGCTTATGCCGCCGGGTTTGCCGCCGGCTTTCAGACAGCATATACCCAACAAATACAACATATGATGCATGTGCCGGGGGGTTGGCCGCCGGCCGTGCCGCCGGGCATATGTGGATGCGCCATTGGAGTATCTTACCTTCAGTAAGTACATGTAAAATATCTGATATTTTATTTTTTACACTTGTCATAATATTTCTAATAAAATCACAATATTCAAATCTCCGCTAAGAATATTTGACAACATTTCATCGAGTGCGGTTGGCGTCATATTTTAATTATTATTTAAATCGTTCTTAGTGGATACTGGTGTTGATTCTGGCACGACTCTCTAAATCTAAACTTAAATTTGACAACAGTGTTTCCTTGTCACTCTCTATACAGAATGAAAAAAAGAGACTGATGTTAAATTTAGTTTTAAGTTTAGAGAATCATGCCAGAATCGACACCATTGTGAAATAAAATTGGTATGATTTTTTTTAACAATCGTTTGTGTAACAGAATAATTGCTGGAATCTTTAAAATATATGCTATATCGGTCAAATGGACGTGAAAGCTTTATCGTAATGTTGACTACCTCACAGAAGCTTATCGAGAAAGTTAACGCGATACATTTTGTGCCAAACACTCCAAGAAACATTAGAATGCGTCACACCAGCCATATTCTAATGTAAAAAAAGAAGAAGAATGCAAAAATAAGACGATGACTGCATGGCTTTTCCCAATAGGGAAGAATAGAACTAACAAATACTATAGAACCGAAGTTACTCGGTGGAGTTTCTATAGTATTTGGAACTAGTAATCATCAATCTTAGGTTTTGCCTCAGGGGGTTTAGCTTCATTTAGCTTGCTACTTGCTATAGTAGTATTATACTGTACTCTGTGTGTGTCTGATTTGCCTTAATCTCTGTAATCTGTGGTCTAGTCTATGTATATGAATGATGTCGTAAAGCAAAATGAATGTATCTGTTCAACTTTTATTAAATCTTGTTTGTTATGTTTTTATAAAGTTATAAGCCAATAAAATAAATACCCAGTATGTGAATTAAGTACACGAGATATAATAATTTAGGTAAGATAATCGGATGTCACGTGAAGTGTAAATTGAATTAAAAGCAAACGACCTTTTAATTAGTAACTTGTACCTATAAACAAACAGCTGTATGTGGTTGTGAGTGACTGTGTGCATAATTCACTTGTTGCACCTACTTTCAAAACTGGATAATTCACCTGTTTATGTGAGAAAGTGAAGCTGTTCTATTATTTACATATCGAAGGAACGGAATTGGTGTTATCATTTTACCGTTACAGTTGACGTTAGACCGTGAGAAGAACGTGTTGTTTTCGATTTATCAAAGTTCGTTACAATGCACCTGCACTGCAGATAACCGCGATCACGCGTTGATTATGACACGGTTCGGAGGAGTTGCAATCCAGTTACTTGCAAAGAAACTATTGTACCGACGAGACAGGTAAACCGACGAGTGAGGTATCATCGAGACCCCAAAATGAGTCATACGTGGTCGCAGGCAGTTAGTTTATTGTTTTGTTTTTGCCGAATTCCTTGACGATGACAGTGCCACAGAGAAAAGTTAGTGATTTTGATAAAAAAGTACATTCCACTTATGAAAAATAAAACGTTACTTGTGTGGTTATGATTAAGTAATGGTGAGATTCCTATTAATGAGCAAGGTTGCTGCTAAAAAGACTGTAAGTGTTGGTTATAAGATGAATTAAAACTTCAAGACTGATAGATAAAATGGCTCAGAACTCAATGGATTCTGATAGACTGTCTTCAGCGGGTATTTCAACTCATAGCTCCGGAACTGCTGGTACTGTAGGAGGTTCAGTGGTTGGTGTGAGAGTCGGAAATCCCAACCACAAGAGAGATGATGAAGATGACTACAACTTGGGACCATTACCTCCAAACTGGGAGAAGGCTTTTACACCATCCGGTGAAAGATATTTTATCGAGTAAGTACTCAAAAATAATTATGTTTTAAACAAAGCTCCTTAAAAATGTTAATGTCAACACAATATTGGCCATTTCTTTTACTAATCAAGTGTAATATAATTTGTAACATTTATATTTGTAAATTTTGATTGTCAACATTATATTTGGAGTTATTTATGTCATTAGATTTGGTTATTAATAGTTATTAAAAAAATTACTTAAAACAGAAACTCAATGATATTAGTTTGAATGCTACATACAGTTTTGAGTATTATTTTGTTTATGAAAGATCATTCATATGTAAAACAATAGTTGTTTAACTGAAGCTGCACATGATATTAATACATTCTATTGTATGTTGACAAAACACTTCTATGATCATGATGATAGCCTCATAATATGATTTCAAGCATTTTTGATTTCCATTTTAATAATAGTTGTTGTATTTAGTTACGTGGACAGACTATGGTGTCAATTCTGGCATGATTCTCTGAACATTCAAACTAAATTTAAGATTAGTTCTCTCTTATTCATTCTGTATAGAGCAGACAAGAATACACTGTTGTCAAATTTAAGTTTAGATTTAGATAATCATGCCAGAATCAACACCAATGTTATCTAATCTATATTTATAATAAGGGAATAAATGCATATCAAAATAAAATTCCTCATTGGAGACAATGTCTAAAATATATATGAAAATCATATTAAAGATTACTCATAAATACTTAATAAAGATGGCTAAAGGAATAACTGGTCTGAGCGTCTTAGGAAATATTTACTAAACCACTCATAATACTAAGAAACTATAATTTATGCAATAAAATTACATTAATCTAACTTCTTTCATGCACATAAAAAAAAAAAATACTGTGCTATAAACATAATGGGTTGAATACATTTATTTAAACTACTACTACTATTCACAATCAAAATATAAATTCAATTGCTTTTTTTTAATAATTGGTCAAAACCATTGGTGATCCCTGAATAAGTGGTTGACAGTCTTGGGTTATGATAATCAGATCATTAATAGTTTGTCTAAGAACAAAATATACATCTGAGATGGTAAATAGCCATTAGGAGAAAAGGAATTGTAGTTGTTAACATAATAATATGACATAGACCATGCCCGACACAATACAGAAAAACCTTTTTAATATTTATAAAATAATTAATCTATCCCACCTACTGGACTTGGTGTGAAGATAGTAGATAGGAATCAATCAAGCAACTACTGCATGTATTATTTGAGACAAACTTCTTAGCAATCCATGGATTCACTGTGCGGGTGCCAGGTCCATCGTGTGGGAGAGAAAGAAAATCTGAGCAGCGACTTGCAAACCAGATGTAGGTTTAAGGAGGCCCCCTTTAAGATGTGCATCAATGCTCACCTTCACTGCTCGTGTTGCCTGCCCTTCCTAGCCAAATTTTATAAGAGCCTGTTAGTGCAGCCTTAGTTACTTGTTACAAAGTTTGACTTACTGCAGTTCTCCACAGGCCTAGGTCTTTTATAAGGTTTTAGAGCGATTTTGCGGGTATATCTTATAACGTGTTAAAACACATGAGTTTTGTTTTATTTGAAGAGGGAGATAGAAGGCATCTGTTTAGATTGTTTCACTGTTTTCGTTTACCATAGATCGTTTTTGCTAGTCCATGCGTTTATTTTTATTTTCCTGTGGCTAAACTAGGCTTTTAGACTGATTCCTTTACTTGTCCTTTGGAAGGAACAAAAAGGAAGAAATTTTCGATGACCCAAAGTGAGTTTGGATTTTGCTTCAACCCCATTGCGATTAATAGTTCAATGCCCTTCTGGCGTATCTATTGAGGCAGGTCTAGCGCATAAGTATTTTTATAATTTAATTTCAACCTATCCATATTGCTTTAAAACACAATTTCTGTTTTTCCCACATGAAAGCTTCCTCTTTTTTTTATTTTATATGACAAGAGACACATTTATGTTTTTTATTTTTTTAAACATATAAATATCCATATTTTTTTTTTTAATTATTGTTAATCACTTATGTAACATAAAACAAAACAGACTTGCATAGCAAAAGTTGTTTCTATGACACTATGATTTTTTTTTCACATTATGTATAGTGAAGTCAAACAAAATGTTCATGTAAATTACCGAAATAATTAAAGAAAACACTTTTTGAATTTAGAAAAATGCTTACCATTAATAATTATGATAATCTTTTGAGATTATTCAATATATTATTAGTATAATAGCATATCGCCAGTAAACGACCTTATTCCTAAGACGTACGTATTTGACAAAAAATACAAAATTCAACTTTATGAAGACACCCCAGACCGTTGTCTGCATAAGGAGTTGAGGGTCTACACAGACGGTTCAAAAACCAACTGTGGTACGGGCTTGGGTGTCTTCTCCGAAGACCTGAATATACACATCTTGACAGCTTTGGGTGCCTATAACACGGTCTTCCAGGCAGAGTGTGTGGGCATCATCAGAGCTGCTGAGGCGATAGAATGTCGCGGGGTAAGAGGAAAACATATTCGTATTCTCTCTGACAGCGCTTCTGTCCTACAGGCACTGGACAACAATATAATGACATCAGGCTTAATTTACGAATGCCACAGTAAGTTGACTAATATTGCTAACGACAATAGATTGACCTTACAGTGGATTAAAGGACACAGCGGCTCAAGGGGTAACGATGCGGCGGACTGCTTAGCCAGGGAGGGGTCTAGCAGGACGGCCATTGGTCCGGAGCCAATTATACCCATACCCTATCGGCAGCTGCGAACCTGGATAAGGGAGCGCTCTCAACGACAACACGACGATTACTGGTCAAAACTCACGGACTGCAGGCAAACCAGGGAAGCCGTTCCTAAGGTAAACCTGCAGCTAACACGTAAGTTAATCAGACTACCTAGACAAGCCCTGAAACAAATCGTGGGTATACTCACGGGTCACGGCTACTTCAAGAAACACCTTTGTAATATAGGTATTTCTGACAGCCCTCTGTGCAGAGCTTGCCTGGAGGCGGATGAGACGAGCGCCCATGTCCTACTGGAGTGCAGGGGCGTTGCAAGACAAAGGACTTCTCTAATGGGAAGCCCGAAGACAATAGTAGAGGCCTGCAGCAACATTCGGGGACTGCTGAGCTTTCTGGAGGAGCTGGGATGGCAGGACTGATGCCAATCCCCACGCAAAATAGGCACTAGGTGTCGAGTTGCGGAAACAGCCCGCCGTACTACTAAGACTAAGACTAAGCATATCGCCAGTAAAAAGTTACGTAAAGTGACCTTAAAATTTGCTTTGTTTTTGTTCTTTTGAAAAGGCAAGCAAAGGAATCAATCTAGATAAAGCCTTGTTAAGCCAAAGAAAATAAAAAAACGCATGGACTGGCGAAAACGATCTATGGTAAAGGAGAACCAGTGAGAGACAACCCAAACAGAGGCCTATCTCTCTCTTCAACCAAACAAAACTCATGTGACATTTTTGACATGTTACTCTCTATAATCTCACTATAAATAAATACCATACCACCACAGAGCCACCAAAAACCTACAGAACATTGAATTTAGTAATTTACATTTTCTTTGTTTTATACTAATAGTACATAGCAGTAGAGTGGCTGGAGGTAAAATAATTGTCACTCATCTCATGATCGATTACTACGAAAGTTGCCTAATTTCTACTAAATGCTAAGCACCATCAATCTCTTCCTCCATTCCATATTCATAAATATTTTTTGTATACATAATAATAAGCCTTTTATTCTTGCAGTAACAACACAGGCACCTCTCACTGGCTCGATCCCCGGTTAGCGAGAGTACGTAAACACTCCCTCGGTGAATGCGGGGAAGACGAACTACCTTATGGCTGGGAGCGAGTGACAGACGAAAGATATGGCTCTTACTATGTCGATCATATCAACAGGAGGACGCAGTATGAGAACCCAGTACTGCAAGCAAGGCGATTGAGGGGTTTGTGTTTATATAAATATACCATTAACAATAGCATTACATATACAGCACAGCAGGCTCTATAATACAAACCCGCTTTAATCAGAACACCTCTGTAATCCGAATGTCCCACATCGGACACATTCCTTTGCAGAAAAAATGCTTTTACGTAAATTGCGAGACAAAGCTTTACATTTGTCACTAGTTATCCCGCGTACTTCATACGGTTTAAAATAATTTGGAAGAAATGACAATGGCCAATGTTTGACAGGAAAGAAGATAGAACAGTTTATTTGGGAAAATTTAATTGACGTTTTTACTATCTTCCTCGCAATTTTTCCATGTTTACTCACCTTTTAAACCTTCCCTAGACCTCCATGAACATTTCAAGACCAAGATAAGGTAAATCCGTTCTCGAGTTTTAGCGAGACTAACAAACAGCAATTGATTTTTGTATATAGATTAAACACCTCCCTCCATTCTAAAATAATAGATTTTTTTAAATACTTAAATAAGTGTAATGTTTAAAAAAAATTATATATACATAAATTAATGATATTAGTTTTATTTTATTAAAAATACTCTTATAAAGTCTTTGTACACTCCATGAATCCAACAGGAATTTTTTGGGGTTCAGATTAAAGAGTTTCTGCTGTGTGTGCTTTATTGCCTGTTATTATTTTAATTTGTTGTAAAATATATTTTTTTCTGGATTAATATAGTAGGGTAGTTTTATAACTTTTATATAAAGTGTAAACCTGTTCGCTATTCTATATATGCGGAAACAATTTCTTTATACTCTATGGTAGCACCACATTATGTGTTGTGTTGTGATGCAATGGCATCGATTAACATGCCCAATGAACTGTTAACAGTTCATTAGTCTGGAATCTATTGTTATCTTATAATCGCGCTACTTTACACAGACCTGGGTAATTTTGAATATAGCATGTTTTAATGAACTATTTACTTTCACTATGCAAAGAATGTAGTAATCTTTGGGGATTTGGCTTAGCGATAATAGCATTTATACCAATGAAAGAAACTGATTGTTTTTTTATTAATTGCAGCTGAAAAGCTTGCAGCAGAAAACAGTGCCAATAACCAGGCTAACGGTTCTACACCCACCGGTGAACTTCGGGGAGAGAGATTCACACTCACTCTCACTAAAGGACCACAGGTAAAGAAATTAAATGGGTAAATTTGTTTCTTACTAGTGGCGTTCAAAGTTTGGGAAATTAAACAGTTTAAGGGTTAATTGATGTCATTTCTTTTAAAAGTGCGTACTAAATTCGATCTATTGAAATTTTTTTTATGGTTTGTTTACCTTTTGTCTCAGCGGAAGTTGGATAGAGTACATGATTTCAAACAATCGCACAGTCACGCACACATTAAGCATAACATGAGCCGTTTTCTTTGCGTGGGTTATTTTTATTGTGCTATCTAAGCGTGTTTATAATCAAAGCATTAACCAAAGTTTTGTAGACTCCCTAAAATGCCTCCATAATCTCCATAAAATGTCCTCTTTTTTATTTACAGGGTCTAGGCTTTACCCTTATCGGAGCCGAAGGTATTCCAGAGACTGAAGGTTACTTGCAAATCAGGAGTATAGTCCCGCACAGTCCTGCCTGGATCGATGGTATGATGATTCTGTCTGTAAAAAAGAATTATATTTGAGCATTTAATAATTTATTATTGAAGTGAAAACTTTTTGAAAAGTGTTGTGACTTGAGATTCGATGAAAGGGAAGTAGAGTATTTGACACAAGGTGGTATCCGTAATAGGGATGATGACTAATTTTTTTTTCTTCGTTTATCAGGTAGATTATCAAAAAGTATTGGACACGTATTTTTTCTTTTTTCACATAATATAAACATTGCAGAGATATATTGATTTGAAAAGTCGCATGACGTCACATTTGAGTACACTTATAAGTGAAAATTCACTCAAAAGTGACGTCACGAGCCCCTACTCCCAAATTTTGACGCGCTATAACTTTGTCGTTTTTTGGTTGATTGCCCAAAGAAAAAATACGTGTCCATTATTTTTTGATCATCTAACTGACGGACTAAATAGAATTTCGTTTATTGTACGCCGTCATCACCCCTATTGGGGTCGATACCGAAAGATCGGTGTTTCAACCTGAGCTGGGTGATGTTCTTTTACTAGCGCTATTATTTTATTATTTTAGGATATTATTTGAGAATATTTAAGTTTGCCCGGTATTTTACAATACCTAAATAGATAAATATTAAATGTATTGCAGGTTACGTAGTTTATTTGCACAGCTCTGGTTTTATTTATATTCTTATATGAAGTGAAGACACCTTTATCATAGTTTTTACAAACGTAAAAAAACTATAATAAATGAGATAGAAAGTAAAATAGGCAAGTAATTTTGTGTGTAATACTGACGGTATGGTCGATGTCGCAAGTGGTTAGCGCTTTCGGCTACGATCGTTGACGTTAAGTAACTTTCGCAGTGGTCGGTCATTGAATGGGTGATCAAAAATGTACTATCTCGAGCTCCTCCGTGCTTCGAAAGGCACGTTAAGTCGTTGGTCCCAGCTGCATCAGCAATCGTTATCACTCACCATTCCGCACTGGGCCCGCGTAGTGGGTCATGGCCCAATCTCCCTATTCCATCCATATGGAAGGCCTGTGCCCCAGCAGTGGAGACATTAATAGGCTGAAGATGATGATACTGACGGTTTTTATGGAATTAGCAAAAATGCGACGATCGAAAGAGAGTGATGCATACTTCACTTCACTCTGGGGCTCGGCTAATTGGTGTAAGTGTTGAAAATAATAATTTATTCACTAATAGCTTGACGATGACGTTGTTACGTACAGGTGCCTTACAACCGGGTGACGTGTTAGTAGGTGTAGGCAGTTGCGCAGTCCGCGGGTTATCTCACGCGCAGGTGGCGCAGATGTTCCAGTCCATCACTCCAGGCACCGACGTCTGTCTGCACGTAGTCAGAGGTCAGTATGTAGTATGGCAGTTGTCTTACAGCCGGCGAGGAGGCGACTTACTATCTGCAACCGGGCGACGTGTTAGTAGGCGTGGGCCAACGAATTAGAAATGATATGGAAACATTACTCTCCAATCATGGTTCCAAACTCATATAGCTAAACTTCAATACTTACGCGACTCGCATACACGCAAAACAAAATACTTGGTCAAATCAAATATTCACAAATGAATTGGGTAAGATAATGTTAAACGGAAATCCCAACCAATCCCAAGATCGGCGTGTTGATCGCAGTTTTTTTCGACCCGCCCACTTGATCGCAGTTTGCGTGGAACCACTTTTTAGAGCAGTTCTTATTCCATATTATTCCTTATTCGAAGGCGTGGACAATTACGCAGTCCGCGGGTTATCTCACGTGCAGGTGGTGTAGATGTTCCAGTCCATCACTCCAGGCACCGACGTGTGTCTGCACATAGTCAGAGGTCAGTGTGTAGTATGGCAGTTGTCTTACAGCCGGCGAGGAAGCGACTAACTATCTACAACCGGGCGACGTGTTTGTAGGCGTGGGCCAACGAATTAAAAATTATATGGAAGCAATACTCTCCAATCATGGTTCCAAACTCATATAGCTAAACTTCAATACTAACGCGACAAAACAAAATACTTGGACAAAACAAATATCCACAAATGAATTCGGCTCTCCATTCATTGGGTAACATAATCCCAACCAATCCCAAGATCGGCGCGTTGATCGCAGTTTTTTTCGCCCCGCCCACTTGATCGCAGTTTGCGTGGAATCACTTTTTAGCGCAGTTCGTATTCCATATTATTTCTAATTCGTAGGCGTGGACAATAATTGCGCAGTCCGCCGCTTATCGCACGCGCAATTCGAAACGGTTCAAAATGTTTCTTTAAATTAATAAGTTTTCAACACAAAGTGGATTTTTATATTTCTACCATAAATTTAACCGTTTCAAGCAATGACGTATAATATATAGACAGGTTATACGCCAACATTATTGCTTTTCAAATTGGTACAAGGAGTCCCCGCCCTAGCTTCCCGTGGCTGCAGCCGTCAATAGAGCGCATTAATGTAGTCTCTTTCACTCTCATGCATAAAGCAGATTACATCTCGCTCTTTATCCTCCACGTCCCAACTATTGATATATTAAGTAGTTATTATTCACAAAATTGTTTGACTAAATAATATATATTTTAGAAATACAAACTAATTAAAAAATAACCTGACCCGCCACAGATTTTGGAAAAAGTTTGCCCATCCATGAGTTCAGATTTTTTTCCGTCTAAATAGACGTATCTTAAGACCATTTCTGTTTATTACTTCGTTAGGAATTTTATATGAATAAAAAAAACTAACCAAAAGTTAATGTAAATGCTAAATATAACAAGTCTTGCTAATGGATTGAAATGTTGATTTTACACATTTAAACACACAGTACCTACTGTACTGTATTTAAAACAACCTTAAATATAACTATATTTCAACAGGTTTAAAATGCTTTTTCTTTATGTTTCACATCCTTTTCAAACTGCGTTATCAAGTGTATACTCTTGAAAAGTATGTAAAACGTAGATATATGTATAAAAGTATTAAAAACGCATTTTAAACCTTTTGAAGTGATATTTTATTCAGCGGGGTGCCTAAAAACTTAAGAATTAAACGACTCCACTTCCACTTTGGGTATTATGGCTCCATCGTTATGCAGGATGATTCTGCCAATGTGAGGGTTAAAGGCACTGTTACATCGGTACTCTTTGTAGGGTGTGGTAATAAATGACTCATTTGTGTTCCAGGATATCCTCTGTCATTCGACTCCGAAGACCCGAATACTCGCGTACTGAGCACACTGGCGGTAGACGCGAACGCGCCGCCTACCTCCGATGCAGTTGCTATGCAGCAACTAACAAGAGCCTTAAGGACGAGGTAAAAGAGTTCATTTTACAAATCAAGATTTTTTAGTTTAAGAATGTTTTAAAGTAAAACTTCATTACGCACGCTTGACTTGGGGGGTTAAGCAGGCGAATGCGTTACGCATTACGAAAAGTGTGTTCGGGCGAGGCGAACGGGAGTTGAGTGGGGGATATAAGCAAGGGATAGCAGTGCGCGCGCACATTTTCTTTGTCTCTTTCTCTTATAGCTATTAAATGAAATATGTATATGTATATATTGTACACACACAATATATACATACAGATGGAGCTAAAGAAGTTTCACTTCAGTCGTATGATCATAAGCACACTCGTTTTTTTACAATCTGTCGGTGTCCGGGATAATCATGTTATTCAAATAAGGTTAAATTTTTCAAGTGAAACTTCTTTTCGGATGTAAATGGAACATCTTATGAAACGGAAATGAGTCACGAGCGTCACACGTGACAATATTTGAATATACATACAGTGGTGGTCGTATAATTAGAAACACTACCAACGGTGCTTGCCATTATGTAAGATACTTCACCGCAATCGTTTTTATTTTGAAATTAAACAATAAATTGGATAAAAATATGTTCAACGATTTATCATTTATTAGAAAAACATAGATCACATACTGTTCAATTCTTCATAATATGATTCATAGCAACATGTATTTGTCCCTTTTCTGGTCTATAATTAAAACTTAGATAACTATTTATATTATTCAAACCATAAGAGTTGATTTTTAACTCTTTTTATGCTTTAATACTTGCGATGAGGTTTGAAGATAGATAGATAAACGTTTCTTCGTTAGTGTCAATCAATACACATTTATTAAATTCAAATTTCATTCCAGATTCAACTTGGACTCTCCGAACCACGAAGCGAGCCCGGGACATGACGAGCCCGACAGTCCGGCGTTATCCAGGTCATTTCTCGATCCTCCCGCCAGATGCCCTTCCGCTGATATCCTAGCCATGGGTAAGAAAAATGCTAATTAATATATTCTAGACTTGCAACGAATATTCGGTTACTATTCGGTATTCGGCCTATTCGGCTGCTTTTATTATATTCGGCCGAATACCGAATATCTACATATTATTCGGCCGAATACCGAATACTTAAATAATATATTTTGTCATAGAGAAATAATTGGTAAAATTTAAATCGATTGATTACGTATATATTCATATTTTCATTTCTGTTATATAATCATTTAAGTAGTCATTGGTACATAACATAGGTACTTAATCATCTTCTGAATTGGAAAAATGGAGGATTCTATGTATTTGAATTATTGTGGTAATCAAAATTTAGAAGGGTAAGGTTCTCATTTCTTTTATAATCATTTATTAAGTAGTCATTGGTACATAAAACAGGTACATAATTTAATCATTTTCCGTATTAAACAAGTTAACAGTTTTTAATTCATTCAGTCATGTGGTTACATAATAGCAATAATTTAAAGTTTACGCGTCGTTTTTGGCCATATCTCAAAAGTTGGTTTTGTCATTTAGCCGCATTTTAGTTTGAGGACTGCAGATTAGAACAAAACAAAGGAGCGCGAACCAATCGCGTCTGTACAAGTTTTTGGCACTAAAATCCAGCCGAATACTTTTGCCTAATATTCGGCTATTCGGTCAGGGGCCTCGCCGAATATTCGGTATACTGCCGAATATACTATTCGTTGCAAGTCTAAAATATTCTCTTGCTCCGGACATAAATCATCTATATGTGCTCTAACTTTGGGTGGGGAAAAAATTGATCTAATTGAATCTAGTTTCATGAAACCACGTTGCAAGTGAAACTTCTTTTCTTAAATAACTTAGCATTAGGCGGTACATAAGGCATAGGGGAAAAGAGCAGCGCACGCATAACTCATACATATAGTCACTATATTGTCGCGTGTGACGCTCGTTACGCATTTCCGTTTTATCTTTTCCATTCAATTTTTCTATTTACATCCCGTCCGAAAAGAAGTTACACTTCAAAAATTGTGGAGATGTAACAAAAGTTTCTATTTTAAAAATAAAAACAAATTGTGCTTTATACTCGTTCAAAAAATGTTTTAAGATATGTTTGAGTGAATATTGGAAATTGCAGTTATTAAATTTAAAGTATCTGCGATTGCGAGTAATACAAGTTGAAACTCTTTCGACATCAGGCAACTAAAAGAAACTTCGTTAAAACTAAGAAATCCTAAGGTGTAGCTAGCAGCAAACTTCTTGAGAACAAAACCAAAAACAATGCTGGAAACGGCTAATTGTGCGCTCTGACCTAATTATTTAGGGACATCATTGTAACCGCAATTAACGCAAACAAAATTTTTCATTCATTCATTCAAAGTTTGTATGAAAAGTCTTGTATGTATCGGACATAAGGACAAACTAGCTTTTTCCATTAGGTATTTCCAATTCCAATCACAAGTCGCATGACGTCATGTTTTGGTACAATTTTTACTCAAAACTGACGTCACGAGCCCCTACTCCCAAGCTTTGACGCGCTATAACTTTGTCATTTTTTGGTTGATTGCCCAAAGAAAAAATACGTGTCCATTATTTTTTGATCATCTAACTGACTGACTAAATAGAATTTCGTTTACTGTACTCCGTCATCACCCCTATTTGACGATGACGATACGATCTGTCAAATTCGTGCTTGGGCTTCAGTTACGGCATTTCATTGACCCTTACACATCTACGTTCAGGAGAGCACCACTCGCGGGACAACAGTGTGAACAACAACGAACAGGGCCGCGAATTAGTGCTCACATTGAGGAGAGGTGCTGCCGGGTTCGGATTCACTATAGCCGACAGTGTTCACGGGCAGAAGGTGAAAAAGGTTAGTAGGATATTTTTCGCTCGAATGGGGAAGAAAACGCGAAGCTCATTACAGATGTCGCTTTGGCCGTTAGATCCATAACAAGCGACCTATCACTTCAAGGCTACGTTCTAAACCTACGCTCTGAATGCAACTTTTTATAATGCGATTCAAATAAGAATAGGAAAGCCAATGAGTTCTATCTGTCAAATGTCGCTTGAAAAGTACGGTTTGCAAAAAAAAACTTGGAACCCTTTTTTAGCACTCAGCTAATTCAAGAATAAACACCAAACATTTGTAAACAAACAATAACAAATATTGATAATTAATATCGGTTGTTTTTTTTTTCACTTATTGAGCTTTGGCCATGAATGGTTGATAACCTAAATCGTCAACCAAATGTCACTTTAAGTTGCGTTCAGAAACTCGATTTCAAACTTTTCCATATCGGTGGTTTTCTTTTTCTCATTCTTAGTAAATAAAATCTGATGCTTTTTCTAACTTAATCTTAGTAAATAAGTTTTATTAAGTAAAAACTTTTTTTTGCTTACTCTACCTATTTGGTTTGAATTGACAGCTATGACATCACAATATGGCGCCCAGTCAGTCCTATTCTTAGTTGAATCGCATTATACGCTGTCTTCAATTTTGACTTAAAATGTATGAAAATGCTGTCAAATTTGTCATTTGTTACACCAGGTGCCTACGCTCGACGCCACGAGCTATAGATTAGCCCAAATCTATAGGAATTTGACGGTTTTACTAGTGACTCTACCAGCTGTGCCGATTAATTGTTATGCCATTTGAGCAGACCCGTCTTTCCCATTGGGCACTTTGGGCAAGTGCCCAGGGCCCCGCGATCGCTAGGGGGTCCCCTCAGATCAAATACAAAGTCCCTAGTTCCTTTTAAATCACCAAACGGAAGTCATATGGGCCCCATTATCCTAATATGCCCAGGGCCTCCAATAGGTCAAAGACGGCAACTGCATTTGAGACCTGCGTCTCTTACGAGATAAATTGGCAGTTTTATTTCATATTGGAGCGCCAGTCTCGAGAAGCAATCTCCACCTTACAGAAGACCACAGCAAAATAACACTACCTTTCGTGAGTAAGGTTCTAGGACTCCTCGAGGTACGGGGCTGGCTAGGGTAGCTCATTAAGTTTGAATGGCGTTATACCTTTTTTTTTGTGACGCAGGCAAAAACTCTGTTTACAGACGACGGCGCCTTTAAGAGGCACACCACCGAACGGACCTCACACCTGGCTCCCGCAAACCTTACGAGCCCTCACAGTGTAACTCTTACGGGCGCTTTACGGCATAATATCCGCTAAAAAACCCTGCGAATACGCTCTAAGCTGGTTACTGCGAAACCGCGGGATCCCCTTTTAGGGATTCTTCCGCGTCTCCGCACCTCATGGCGTTATACCTGAATATTTGCTTTTTTTGTTTTGTCAGGTGTTAGACAGAAGCCGATGCGCAGGATTGCGCGAAGGCGATCTCTTACTGCAGATAGGGGATACGGACGTTAGACATTCACCACATCAGCACGTTGTTCAGGTAAGTTTTAGGTTAAAGAAGTTTTGAATAAGCCTTTCTGTGAATAAAAAAAATACAGTGCAAAAAATAAAGTAATTGTTGACATTCATCATCATCATCAGCCTATTAATGTCCCCACTGCTGGGGCACAGGCCTTCCCTATGGATGGATAGGGAGATTGGGGCATGGCCCACCACGTGGGCCCAGTGCGGATTGGCGGGTGCTAACGACTGCAGATGCAGCCGGGACCAACGGCTTAACGTGCCTTCCTAATTTAACATCAGTCTCTCCTTTTCATTTTGTATTTAGAATGACAAGGATATACTGCTGTCAAATTTAAGTTTAGGTTTAGAGAATCATGCCAGAATCGACACCAATAACCGTCTAAAGTTGCTGTGCCCTTGCAGGGCGTCACATGGTTGCTGTATTTTTATGTACCAACTTATTTCTGTGAATGTGATATGCAATGAATAAATAAATAGATACGGGGCGAGTTAAAAGGCTGCTAGCGAACTCGCTGGCTTGTAGCTTGTAAACTCGCCCGTGTCATCGAGGCTTTAGTCAATGATGTAACAATGTGAATGTTTTGATTGTGTATAGGTGTTAAAAGAGTGTCCGGCACTCCAGTCTACCGCCTTACGCGTATGGCGTCGCCCCGCCCGACCGCCTCGCTCCCGTTCTGCCACCCGTCTACATACTACGACCACTGCTGGTACGTGAATATACTCTTTTCTATTATATGAGGAGCTGGCGAACAAAACGGTATAATAGGGGTGATGACGGGGTACAGTAAACGAAATTGTATTTAGTCCGTCAGTTAGATGATCAAAAAATAATGGACACATATTTTTTCTTTGGGCAATCCACCAAAAAATGACAAAGTTATAGCGCGTCAAAGTTAGGGAGTAGCGGCTCGTGACGTCACTTTTAAGTGAAAATTGTACCAAAACGTGACGTCATGCGACTTTTCAAATCAATATATCTCTGCAATGTTTATATTATGTGAAAAAAGAAAAAATACGTGTCCAATGTGGCGGCGACATCTGCATGCCCCACATATAATAAAAAACATAGAGGAAATAGTCACTCGCCTCCTTAAGAGATGGCGTTACCTGCACTGCGATCAATATTAGTATGGAAGCCTACATCGCGCAAATGAAATTTGGAGGCTAACTCTTCATATATACGATGCCCGACCAACATCAGTCGGACCGCGGCCCCCGAGCTGCCATCACCCAGCTCGGAGGAAGATCTCCCCCTTGGCCTTCCTACATCCAATATTTTTTGATAATCTACCTGATAAACGAAGAAAAAAAAATAGTAATCATCCCTATTACATAGAATTAAATTTTACAAGAGCTGTATAACACTGAATGACGTACCTACAGTGAGGTTTTGGCATGGTTTTTAACTTATAAATTCTCTAATTTAAACACTGTTTTCGGTGGTTTCGATTGAAAATTATTTGAGATTCAAATTCAACGGACCCGAAACCATACTTATATTTTTGACACATATGCTCAAACAAATAATTTACGGAGGATGTATACATTGTTCGAAATTACAGGCAATACTTACCCTTACCCTAGTATCCCTTATGGCTTGTACATGCCATAAGGGATACTAGGGTAACCCATAAAATACATATACTGTAAATAAATAAGTATATTTTATATAGAAAATTAGAAATACATATTAAACATCCATGACTGGAGTACAAATGCTCGTATTCATCACACAAACATCTGCCCCCACCGGGATTCGAACCCGGGACATCTCGAGTCGGCAACACCATGAAACCCGGCGTACAAACCACTCGGCCATGGAGGTCGTCAAAATACAAACAAAGCCAAATCACACTTTCCTGCAAAATGTTATTGTTCTATTTACACTTCACATCAGCTAGGTTGGGGCACAATTTGTCAATTGAAATCTAATTTAACTGTAAATCGAGTCCAAGACTTCTAAAGTCTAGATTTCTAGACTATAATTAACTGTTGAAAAATAAAGAAAAATGACTAAACAAAACACACACATCTAAAAAAAATGTCTCAAGTCGGTCCCAACTTAGCATGATGCTGATGATGCCATCAGCGCTGGTCTTCCATTGAAACCGGTTTGGTGACGACACGAAACAATAACATTGACAAGCAACCAAATAAACACAAAGAAAAACAAAGCAAAAAAATAAATAATAATCCAAAATCATAAAAACAGTCCGAGAAAGGTACAAGAATGTGAGTGTTAGTTCAGGGAGGCGCACCTCATGCAAATGATATACAAAATATGATGTGTACAAAGATGGCGGCCCTAGTTCCAATTTTCACCACTAAAAAAAGTGCCATCGGACTATACTATGCCCTAAATCTATTATTACTACTTCCGAGCAGCTAGCAACAGCAGTCAACTAGGCAGAAGCAAAACTCCCACTGCCGAGCAGCTACGATCTCCAGCTCTGCACACACAAGACCACTTACAAGACTTACACAACGGAATGAACACTGGTCAGTGAGTCTATAGCCTGTTTATGACAACACGTCATGTACGAGCCGACTTGTACAGTTTTTGTCTAGTTTGCACTTTACGCCACATTCGATAATTTAGGTCACGCTCACATCAGTCTGCCATCGGTATTCATTCTAGCCGCGCATACACATATCAATTATCTTGGCTTTTCGTGTTTGCTATTCGTAAACTTGACAACACTCTCCTTATCATTCTCTATAGAGTGTGATAAGTGGCCTGCTGTCGAAAATGACAAACAGCAAACACGTATAACAAAGTTAAGTTTCGGCGTTACGTTTAGCCTATTCGCGCAGCAACTCGATGAATTTGAAATGTCATTTTTGATTTGTTGTCAAATGACGTAGTACCAAGGGGCTCGATACTGCAGGCGGATAGCGCGTTCGACCTGCGATTGTGGAAGTTAAGCAACTTTCGCAATGATCGATCATTGAATGGCTGACCAAAAACTTATTCTGTCGAACTCCTCCATGCTTCGGAAGGGAAGTTAAGCCGTTGATACCGAATGCATCTGCAGTCGTTAGCACCCACCAATCCGCACTGGGCCCGCGTAGTGGGTCACGGCTCAATCTCCCAATTCCATCCACTGGAAAGGCCTGTGCCCCAGCAGTAGAGACACAATGTTTCTTATTAATTAACTCAAAAGCTTCAGCTTTCATTATTCTTGAGTTAAATAAGCTATATTCAATTGCGACCAAACTTTTGCCCATGCAAAGTTATATATTTTTCAACACATTTGCTCAAAAAATGCATTTACGGAGATTGTTTACTTTGTTGAAAAGTTCAAAATTTTGGGCCATACAATGGAGCGTGTGGTAAGACATTTTACCGAACGCTCCCAGACATAGTGCCGTGCGTATTGTTAGGGGTTTTTTTTTTAATTTTTGTCGTACCTCCTTTGAAGCGCTTTTAATCTATACCTTTGAGTCACTTTAATACTAAAAAGAAAAAGAGATGAAAGATATAGTTCTCATTTTCACCACTGCACGTGGCGCCAAATGGATGCGCGCCATTTGAAAAAAAAAATAAGAAGAACTTTCCTTTATTTCTTACGTATTAGGTAGGTATATTGTTTTCTCGCAAATATGTTGAAAAACGTTTTATAACATTCGTGTGGATTTGGTATTTACAAACTCGTGACTATGGTAATCCCTCGACGTCGTCTCGGTCTTACATTCGTCATCATCATCAGCCTATTAATGTCCCCACTGCTGGGGCACAGGCCTTCCCTATGGATGGCATAGGGAGATTGGGCTATGACCTACCACGCGGGCCCAGTGCGGATTGGCGGGTGCTAACGACTGCAGATGCAGCCGGGACCAACGGCTTAACATGCCTGCCGAAGAACGGAGGAACTCGAGATATAAGATTTTTGGTCACCCATCCAAAGACCGACCACTGCGAAAGTTGCTTAACTTTAACGATCGCAGCCGAACGCGCTAACCACCTGCGCCATCGAGCTCCTCGTCTACTCGTTTGTAATAACAAACTTACCGCACTAATATCATAAATAACTACAGTGGAATTCAGGTATAACGACGATGGAGGACCACTCTATTTTTGTCGTTATATCCGAAAGTCGTTACAGGCAAAGGTAAACAGATACAGACACGTACACATGTATAGTTAATATTCGTTTATAAATTATTTCCGCCTTTTCTTTAACAGTGAATTTTAGTCAATCAGCCATACTTATTGAAAAGTTTACTACATCCAGTTGCTACTCAGAATATCACTTTGTAATTGAAGCATAAATTTAACTCCGAAACGTATATAGTAAACGTCATAGTCGCTACTCCCGAACTCGGCGTTACATCCAAAGTCGCTATAGCCACATGAATTTTGTTCTAAAGTATGCTTTATATTCAAGGGACTTAGATTTAACGTCGCTTTAGGTAAATGTTTGCTACAACCTAGTAGTTCGTAATAAAGGAAATCCACTGTATTACCCTTAACAGAGGCAACATACGCCGTCCCCGAACACAAGGGTCGCGATCGAGAATCACTAATAGACCGTCGTCGTCGAAGCAGCACACCCGGCGGTAGACTTACATTACCAGCGGTAACTCCGTGGATAGACATACAGACGGAGAACAACCAATGGCAGGACAGAGAGACGTGGGTGGACAACTCGAACGTTAGGAACTGGGCGGAAAGTACGCAGAAATGGGATGGAGCCAACGGGAATTGGGATGGCAATCAGGAAAGGTGAGACTGTTTTCAACTATTTTATTTTATTATTAATCTTCTTTTTATTAGCCCCGCAAATCGAAGGGTATATATATATATATACCAATATTAGGAATTGACCAGAAAGTACCCAGAAATGGGACGGAGTTAACGAAAACGGGGAAGGCAATCAGAACAGATAAATGAGATTGTTTTAAAGTGTTTTATTTTTAATCTTCTTCTTCATAAGCTCTTCAAATTGACGGAGAAGAGAACTGCTTCTTTTATTTAACATGAAAAGTATCTAGCAACTTCATTTTAGAGCGAATATCTTCATTCTATTGAGCTGCAATTTTGTATAGATAACCGTGTCTGCGAGGTTTAACTTTTGTAGATAAACAAAATAAGATCTTATTAATTATATGATTTAAAATTATCAAGGTAAATTAAATACCAGTATCTACTTAAATTTGGCGACAATCTTTTTTATTATACAAGCTGTATCCCTCGGTGTTACTCGCGGTTTATTAGGTTATTTTCCCGCAGTTAAACGTAGCCTATGTGTAAATCCAGGGTGTCAGCTAACTCTATACCAAATTTTATAAAAATCGCTCCATCAGTTTAGACGTGAAGAAGTAACAAACATACACACTCACAAACTTATTAGTGTGATTTGGCTATTCGTGTTTGTTATTTGTGAACTTGACAATAGTCTGTTCTTATCATGCTTTATAAGGAATGAAAAAGGACAGACTGATGTCAAATTTACATATAGCAAACACAAATAGCCAAGTGAAGTGCTGGCTGATCTTAAAGGTTCAACCACTTTTTATAACCGTAAATTTAAGTTAGTATCAACAAATTGGCAATGTTTATTTTTTCTGTTTTCCTTAGATGGGGTAATGGCAACTGGGGGGAGGTGCCCACACCCACAGTCCACGTAGATATGAACGCGGCTTATTGGAGGGGCAATGCCAGCGTCGCCGACAGTAGTGATAATGGAGGTTAGTTCACCCCTTGCTAATAATATATACTACTGGATATGTCACGCTATGTGGAGTGAACGAGAATGTTCTAACAAAAACTGAAAATCTAAAGAAAATTTTACTAGGAAAAATTCCAATACTTTTGAACTTTTTTCAAAAGAACTTTATTACATTAAGAACTCCTTTTTAATTTGTATTGTTGGCTAATTTCCGGAATTAATTTTAGATCTGTTTTTTTTAATTTAATAATTTTAAAATAGCAAAATATGTGACATCACACTAGCGAGGAGGGGTCCTCATAAATGTGACCAACTGTGACAAGGACGGGTTAGCGGTAGGAAAATCACGAAATCAGTGCGACGTATTTTATGGATGACCCCGCGTTTACCGTACTTACACCGGTCATTTGACAAAATACTTTGGAGTTTTAACGGTTAGACGCACGGAGATAATACAAAGAGGAGCCGCTGTAGCACAGCTTCTACCGAAAATCGCGCAGACGTCACTCATATTAGTTTTAGCCACTCTGCACCAGAGGCGTCGACATCAGCTCTACCATGGAGGTTAGAGAAAAGGAGAACGATTGCTACGTAGTAAAGCATTAGCTCGCCTGGCCTTGAAAATTTGTGGAATTTATAGTTCATTTTTCAGCCACCAGCCGCGCTGCCGTCGGTAAGTAGTATCTGTGAAGTTAGCTGTTTATGAGTACATGTAGATGAAGTTAGTTGAATAGTGTACAAATTTTCTTCGCGGCATTGATCATTTCAAATTAACACACAACAGCCCGCTTTAATTGAGACAACTTAAATATCGCAGCGCCTCACTTATTTTGTCCATATTTCTGGACACTGTTTTCTACAGCGATCGTTCTCCTTCTCTCTAACCTCCATGGGTTAGGCGCACGGAGAGAATACAAAGAGGAGCCGCTGTATTCAATGAAGCACAGCTTCTACCAAAAATTGCGCTGACGTCACTCATATTAATTTTAGCCACTCTGCACCAGTGGCACGAACATCAGCCCTACGCTCGGTCAGTCAACTACTGCCATCTAGTGAAGAATAATAGAACTTCCTAGTGCACGTCAGTTACGTTTACAAACAGTATGCTCTTAGTTTTCCTATCGCATTATACTAGTGTCTGACGTCACACGACGATACAATGTAATGTCACTTTAACCGGAAGCTTACTTGCGTGTGCCGTCATTGTAGGCTCCGCCAATCCCAAGCGTTTTGGGTCACGTGACTGTAGATAAGAAAGCTATTATCTTTTTCGTGGGTTTTTAGTAAAATTATGAATATTTTTTTTGGAAAAATAGTTAAAACCCCTGCCAATATTCATTCTAAACACAGATGCTAACAATTGGCACTTTATTTTTAATACTGTCAAATACCCTATTAGCACACAACAGCCCGCTTTGATTGAGACAACTTATCGATCGCAGCGCCTCACTTATTTTGTCCATATTTCTGGACACTATTTTCTACAGCGATCGTTCTCCTTCTCTCTAACCTCCATTAGACGCACGGAGAAAATACAAAGAGGAGCCGCTGTATTCAATGAAGCACAGCTTCTACCAAAAATTGCGCAGACGTCACTCATATTAGTTTTAGCCACTCTGCACCAGTGGCGCGAACGTCAGCTCTACATTCGGTCAGTCAACTACTGCCATCTAGTGAAGAATAATAGAACTTACTAGTGCATGTCAGTTACGTTTACAAATAGTACCCTTAGCACGAATTCGTAACGTTTGCGAGGCCGAAATGTCATTGTCAAATGTGTACTGATTTTTAGTTCTCGTTACGTACATTGTGGCGCTGCTGTTGAAGTTTCCATACAAAATTTGACATTGACATTTCGCACTCGCAAACTATTCGAATTCGATAATAGTTCGTGCTAGGGGTACAGCATGCTGTTAGATTTCCTACTCGCTACTAGTATTAAAGTAATAGTGCCCGTAATGTTGTTACCCCCCCCCCCCACCCCTCTTAATGGCTTTACTTAATTTCTAAAAGCAAATCTGTATACAATATTCATCCTCCTCTTTGTATTTGCTCCATGGTTAGACGTAATAAAACTGGCAGCTGACCACTTCATATTGTCATCGGGAGATAACTATAAGTTCGTTAAGGAAACTCCTTTTTGGATAGCATTTAGAACCTCCTATAGACTGCACATACAACTAGCGACTTTAACCAGGTTTTCCCGAAGATGGTATGCTACATTCCCCCACCACTGCAGCTATTGGTGGACTGACTGCGCATCGGCAGTCTCCATCCACCAGTAGAATTGGGCCACATTCACCATCGAATTCCACAGGTATGTTACTATAATATAGCTCTATATCATCAAATGTAATGGTTGTGAATTTTTCGAAAAAAACTAAGTCAGACATACCTTGTTATGTATATATATTTTTAAGAATTTAACTAGATCTTAAAATCAGAAAAGGAAAAGTTGGAAAGAAAGTGTGGATAACTCTATTCTATAATATTCGGCCCAAAGACAAGGCCCGTGCCCCTTATAATAAAAGGCTCATATTTAAACGATCCTCGAGAAATAGTAAATGTCAAAAAAATACAACTGATAACCTAACCTTTGAGTTACCAGCTGTTTGATGATAATCTACAATTTCTTAGGATCATTTCAATATTTTCAAAAATAATTATGTCCTTACTGCTCTTACAAAGACACAATGTAACTACTAGATTGAGTAGAAAGAAGATTACACACCACGCGGTGCTAACAACTGCACATGCAGCCGAGACCAACTTCTTAAGGTAAGGCCAACGAATTAGAAATAATACGGAATACGAACTGCGCTAAAACATGGATCAAGTGATCGCAGTTTTGGTGGAACCATGCGCGGATGTTCTCTTGTGGAACCGTGTCTGCCTACTTAGGCAGGGCGGAAAAACTTATATCAAAACAACCAAATGATTATAATCATCATCAAAATCATTTATTCAGTTAAGGCTGTTACAAGCACTCATAAATGTCTAGGAGCTTCGCCATCGGTTCGTAATTCTTCGAAGGGAGACCTGAGAAGTACCGTCAAGAAACTCGACAAAGGCTGTTTTTTTCTCCCTGTTTATTATTAACAGAGTCGGCAAATTGAAAAATGACTTCAAAGATGACTCATGATGTCACCTAAATGAAATCACCAAAGATGATTCATGAAGATTGGTTGGGATTTCCGTTTAATATTATCTTATCCAATGAATGCCGAATTGATTTTCAGATATTTGTTTTGTATTGAAGTTTAGCTGTCTGAGTGTGGGTCGTATGTTTTAGCAGCCTTTGTTAGAGAGTACTGCTTCCATATCATTTATCATTCACTCCGTAAGGCTCGTTAAGGTGTTGGTCGATGGTTGTTCCAAAAAGGGAGCAACTCGAAAAAAAACATTTCTTGTCATTCATCCTATGACTGGCCGTTACGACAATTGGTTAACTACCACTTACCAACGTGTTTCTCTAAGAATAAAATATAATATACTAGCTGTGCCCCGCGGTGTTACCCGCGGTTATTTAGGAATATTTTCCCGCAGTAAAACGTACCCTATGTGTTAATCCAGGGTGTCAGCTAACTCAATACTAAATATTATTAAAATCGCTCCAGACGTGAAGAAGTAAAAAACATACACATTCACAAACTTTCGCCTTTATAATATTGGTGTGATATATCCAACACTCACAACAATTAGCCTAGCCCCAAAGTATGCACTATAGGCTTGTGTTATAGGATACTAGGGTAACGGATATACTACGTATACTTATACATATATAAGTATGTTTATATAGAAATATATATTAAACATTCATGACAAATGCTCGTTAATTCATCACACAAACTTTTGCCCCCACCGGGATTCAAACTCGGGACCTCTTGAGTAGGAGACACCATGTAACCTGGCATACAAACCACTCGGCCACGGAGTTCGTCATAATAAACAGCTTTTACCTCATCAGGCCGGCTCCGCAGTCATTCTCCCTCCACGAACAGTGCTACAGATCGGCTGTTGGGTAACTCTCCGTCAGGCAGACTGCAGAGTCAATCTCCTTCTAATAACTCATCCACTGGAAGAATCAAGGGTTCGCCACTCAGGTACTAGCTATTTTTTTTTTTTATTAAAAACACACCAATAAGCCTAGCCCCAAAGCACTGTAGGCTTGTGCTATGGGATGCTAGGTATAGATATATAAGTATATTTATATAGATATACATATTAATACATATAAAATGTTGAAAGGCTCACTTCGTATAACTTTAATAATCTCACCAGGTTGCGGGAATCCTCACCGCCTCGCCACATGGAGTCCCCCGTGTCGGGGCGCTCCAACTGCTACCAAGAGGGCCATCAGCCCGGCAACCTTTACGTCGCCAACTACCCGCAGGTTGGTTTGGTACTTACTGTCTGTATTTAACAAGGTGTATCCAACGATATTAAATAACCTAAACCACACCACGTGCGTTCAAAATGTGTCACAATCAAGAAGTGGTTGAACTCCACTCAAGCACTTCTTGGTTCGCAGTCACGCGTGGACCGTTGAAAAGTCAAGTTGCCGCAGAGCTCCGTGAAAAAATGCGAAAAAAATACTTATAGTATGTAAAGTGTCGTTTTTCGACAGGTATCTTATCAATGTTTGTTAATTTAACGCATTTGCAACAAATTTTGTTGTAATATTTACTACAAACTGATTTAAAAGAAAATATTTGTGATATTCAAATGCATGGTCGGTAATATCGCAGTCTCTTTTGCTCGCGGTCCGTACCTGCTATTTTGCTAACAGCGTATTCAGAATTGCGCGTAGATTCAAAGACATAACGTCTATATTCTTGCGCATATAGCAATAAGTCGTAAAATTTTACGAGCTTGCATTTTGAACTGTCACTTATATTGTTTTTGACAACGCGATCATCTTACGCAACTTCGTGGATCGTCTAAAGTACCTTTTGGACAGGTTTTAGACACGATTTTGTTCGTGTTGGTGTATCTAGGATATTTAATATCGTTGGGTGTATCTAATATGATCTGAGTGAGCGTGTATATTTATGGTGTATAGGTAGCGGCAAACTTTTTGAGCAAAACAATCACCTCAGACAAGCATCACATACACAGACGGCTTAAAATTTAAGCCGTAGATGTTTTTGTATGTAAAATTGCTACTACGCAGGCTTCCTTGTCTATGGTCATTGCTGCTGGTTTGCCGGGGTGTAAAACTTCATAAGAAATAAATAAAACCCAAACCACCCTAATACAAAACGTAGACTTAAAGTTAAACTGGACTAAAACTAATGCTGTCACTTTTGTTTTCTAAACATAAGATAGAGACAACATTAAATTTAAACCAAGACCCACTTTAGTCCGTATTTTGGAATAAGACAGTTATAACTGGGTCTAACTGAGTCAGGACTATGGTCCTAGCCATGGCCATATCTGTAAATATTTTTGCCGAAGCCATTTAATATAGTTGGCTCTTATATTGTGTTTAAAAAATTTAATTGTATGCCCTAGTAAATACGTAAGCGCGCGTCAATATCAATGATCAAAACTGCATTTCGCTCCTTCAAACGAAGTTACTAATAGTAATAGCGTATTTGAAAATTTTAAGAAAACGATCTAATTCTTTTGTGGGGGGTATCGTAAAAACGTTAACAGCTGTTTTTGAAAGCTCATCAAGTATTTAATTTTTAAAAATAAAATACAATATATTTTAAGTTAATTATTCGAAGAATATTATGTGCTAACATTAGGTAATACCTGCAGCTGTTTTCTCCTTTCTGCTTAACCTGGTAACTGAGTTACAATTGACTGCACTCAACACACACTGATTTGAATATCAAGTACAATAATGGAAAATGTTAAAAGCACCATCGATTCACTGTCACAATCATTTATGGAACGTATGACTGCATTCGAGAACGAGCTTAGATCCAGAGGAACGGGCACACCTCAACCAGCATCACTGTCGTCTTTGTCGGCCGATTTTGAAGCTTTCCGGACTTTTGTGATTTCGACACTAAAAACCCTCGAGAAGCAGGTGGCGGTGCTATCTTCGGAATGTGATAACGCAGAAATGCGGAGTCGCCGTAGTATGCTACTGCTGCATGGTGTCCCGGAGCAGAAGGACGAAGATTGCTCTGAAGTTCTCTTGGAGGTCGCGTCTCAACACCTGGCGGCGCCAAACCTTAGCGCAGGCGATTTAATCCGTTCCATCCGTCTGGGTCGGGTTCGTCAAGGAAAACCGCGGCCGCTTCTTGTTAAGCTTCACTCTGAGGCAGTCCGTGACGGCTTGTGGATGGCGAAGAAAAAGCTCAAGGGCACAGGCATTACTATGTCGGAGTTCTTGACGAAACCTCGCCATAAACTTTTTGTGGCTGCTCGGGAGCGATTGGGTGTTACTGGATGCTGGACCAGTGCCGGGCGCATCATCGCTTTGGACGCAGATGGTAAGCGACATCAGATAACATCTCTGGCCGATGTCGAGAAACTGTGTCTGCCGGCCCAGAATCCCGTGACTGTGGACAACGCGGGTTCTGCTCCAGTTCCGGCTCCGGCTCCGGCTCCGGTGGCTGCAGTCAGTCTTCCGAAAAGCAAGCGAGCTCAGTCTGTGAGACGAAAATAATGTATGTTGTTTATTTTGTTTATTTTTATGTTTTGCGTTATTTTTGATTGTGTTTATTTTGATATTTTACATTACTTACTTTATTTCTCTTTCTATTGTTTATGTTTCGTTTCTTTATTTACTTTTTATTTCTTAAACCACCTCATTGTTAAAAAGTAGTAATGTCCCGTGGATAAAAATAATGAAGGTAGTTAATCTGCGGTAGCACTAAATTTTTTTTTTTTTTTTGTAAATTGTCATCTGTTGCTGCTATTTTAACGTTTGATGCGTATAATGTGATACGTAACTGTGACTTATCACTGTGACGTATCACTGTTATTTATCCGTACACGTATATTGTTTTTGTTGATGTTTTTTCGTTTTTTATGTTTTTCTTTTCTTTTTACAAGTGTATTTGTTAGTGTTGTGTAATGTAGCCACTTCTGCCAGACAACCTGTGGGTATTTATTTATGTAGTAAAGTGATATTTATAAGTAACCGTCGTATTTAAGTATTTTTATCATAAGTAATTTGTTGTAATGGATTTATCTATAGATAACGATATCTTTTTATCATGTTCTTCTTCTTCTATCTCCAGCTCCAGTTTTCAAAGCTTAGATCACTCACTGGACGAGCAAGAGCATGTAAATTCTTATGTACATCCGAAAAAGGAACATCTAAGAAGATGTTCCTTTTTCGGATGTACATAAGAATTTTAACGTTGTCCATATTAATGCACAGAGCATCCCTGCACATTTTCCTGACATGCTGGCGTCTTTTGATAACAAAAATATTCATGCCATCTTAGTCTCGGAAACGTTTCTTAATCCTTGCCTTTCTTCTTCATCCTATAACTTACCTGGATTCCAACTAATTCGTAATGATCGTGTAAGTTCCTCTCATGGAGGCGTGGCAATTTTTCTTCGTTCTCATATCTCGTTTACTATCCTCAGTCGATCTTCTCAACCGCCACCCCCAATAGCGCCGAGCATTTATTTCTTGAAATATCTCTGTCACATTGTAAAGTTCTTCTTGGTGTTTTCTATAGCCCTTCTCTGCGTGTCGACTATTTCGAGTCATTCGAACAGCTTCTAGAAAATTTCGCCCCTTCTTACGCCCATACTATAATTATGGGAGACTTCACTTCACACTTGCCTCATGAAAAACGATTTCAGGTCGAAAAGGTTGCTTTTAGTGATTGGCTCCTCTAATTTACACATTCTTCCACTGAAGGAAACTCATCATTTTCCAAATTGTACTCCATCTCTTCTTGACCTCATAATAGTCTCCTCCCCCACGTTGGCTGCTAAGCACGGCCAGTATTCTGCAGACGCATTTTCCTATCATGATTTGGTGTATCTTTCTTACCGTATCCGTCCTCCCAAATTAAAGCCTACAGTTCAACTTCAGCGCAGTTTTGCTAGGATTGATCAAGAACAATTGCTTGAGGATGCTGCCAACATAGACTGGTCCGCAATCTTTGCTACTGAGTCTGTTGACGAACAGATTGAACTTTTTAACACGCTGCTGGTCGAGTTGTATGATGTGCATGCTCCTGTTTCTCCTGTGAAAATGAAACACCTGCCGGCTCCGTGGTTAACAGATGAGATTCGTAAGGTAATGTCAAAAAAAAATTCAGCTAAAGCGAAGTTCAAAGTTGATCCTTCCAACCTAAATGAAATAAAATATAACCGTATCAGGAATCGGTGCAACACTATGATCAGGGACGCCCAAAGACGCCATATTCATAACTCTGTTGAAAATGAAGATCCTGTCAAAGTTTGGAAATTTCTAAAATCTCTCGGGGTTGGCAAATCTTGTAGCATTAATCCTGTTAACAATCTTGATATCAACCAACCTAATAGTTATTTTTCCAGTTCTCTGCCTCTTGATGGGCGCCGTAAGGCTGAAACTTTACAACGTCTTTCTAATTTGCCAACTCCAGATTCTTCCTTTTTCTTACATCAATTTACCGATTGTGATGTTAAGAGAACCATAAAACAATCAATTCCAGTGCAGTAGGAAGTGATTCTATTAGTCGAAAAATGATTCTCCCCATCCTCGACATCCTAGCTCCCATTATTACCCATATTCTCAATACTTCAATTTTGACCGGTGTGTTTCCTGCAGCCTGGAAAGACGCTAATGTTATCCCGATTCCTAAAAAATCCAATCCTGCCTCTTTTTCAGAATATCGTCCTATTTCCATTCTTCCCTTCCTTTCCAAGGTCCTGGAAAAACTCGTATATCGCCAACTTATTGTTTTCCTTAACCAGAACCAACTCCTTAACCCATATCAATCTGGCTTTCGTACGGGTCACAGCACATCTACTGCATTAGTTAAAATTGTAGATGATATTCGACATGGTATGGAAGAACGCAAACTTACACTGCTGACATTGCTTGACTTCACCAACGCCTTTAACTCCATTGATTTTGACATCCTTCTTGCTATTCTTCGTTCTCTTAACATATCTCCAATGGTGATTGATTGGTTTCAAAGTTACCTGCTAGGGCGCCGGCAGCGTATACGCATAGAAGAAAACTTCTCTGCGTGGTGCGTTATTGATGCCGGTGTTCCTCAGGGTGGCGTCTTATCTCCTTTACTCTTCTCTATTTTCATAAATTCTATCACACACTCACTTTACACGAATCTATAAGAAAAAAAATATTTGCCGCATACAACTCACTTAATCGCCTACGTAACTTTTTGCCGACCAGTACTAAAATCACTCTGGCGCATACTCTTTTACTCTCCATTCTGGACTATGCTGATGTATGTTACACTGATCTTTCTGAGGAACTGCTAAGCAAGTTGGAACGTTTGCAGAATATAGCTATCAGATTTATATATAATCTCCGTAAATTTGACCATGTATCACACTTCCGCTCGAAACTCAACTGGCTCCCTATTCGCCGGCGCAGGGACTTACATACTCTTACGCTTCTTTATTCTGTACTTTTCCTACCTACTTCTCCACCTTATCTAAAACAATGCTCTCTTTCTCTCTTCTCTTTTCGATCATCCTCTTCACAATGCATTCTACGCTCCTCTTCTAATCTCACTCTAGAAATACCTTGCCATTCGACTGATTTCCTTTCTTACTCCTACTCTGTGCATTCTGTTCGCTTGTGGAATTCATTACCAGAATCCATACGAAGGGCTCGCACTCTGGACTCGTTCCGTGAGCAAGTTAAGCGTCATTTCCTATCTTTACTTTGAAAATACCTCTTTCCTTTATTTATTTGTTTATTTTTTATTTTTTTCATATAAATATGCATCTATATTATTATTACCGTTTCTATTTTATTTTATAATATTGCTCTTACACCCTTCCCCCTTTTTTTTGTTCTTTATACTTATTTAATTTTCCGTCATGGGTTGCCTGGAAGAGATTGCTATTAAGCAATAAGGCCGCCCATTGTGTAATGTCTCTCTGTCAGTGTAATCTTACTGTTATGTCCATTGTGGTGTTATACAATAAAGAATATTATTATTATTATTAATGTTCATGGAGTCCATAAAAAGTGGATATTCATGTCCAGTTTTGTATTTTTCAGTAAAAAAAAACTAAATCAAAAATTCAATTTTCAAGTTGCCGCGAAAACGGTTCTCTGAACATTGAGCCGTCTCACTGGTATGTGACGTCATTCGGCTGTCATTAAAGCGTCAAACGATACATTGTAATGTCTTGAACTTTAACTGGAAGTTTACTAGCGTGTGACGTCGTCATTTTTGTCTTTACCAATCCCAGGCATTTTCGGTTACGAAACCATTGTAAATATCTATTTAATGTTTTTTTTTTAGGAAAGCCGTTCATTATTTGTTCTCACAGAATATTAAAATTTCTTCTAATATTCATATCAAATAATAGCAATAACAACAAGCTTCTGTGTACAAACTGCTGAGCTGTATTGTTGTCCTTTTCTTGTTAACAAAAGTAAATAACATTCATGACAAACCGTGATTTAGAGAAAAAAAATGTTTTCATTCCTTTGTGAATGAAAAGTGTTGCTGTGAAATTTGCCATGTGGTCTTGAACTGTTTGTGTTCTTTATCCCCTCGGCTTTGTCCCCTCGGCTGTCGAGCCTCAGTCAGACGGTGAAAAAAAATATGTACAGATCTGTGTACTAACCGCCAGACGGCAAGTGGACGGTTGGGAAGGTTGGGAACTTCACATAAGTGAATTATTAATAAATTGGACTTAAGCTTCTTGGGTTAGAGCTCAAAATAATATTGAAGAACCAACCTAACGGTTTGTTTAAAGATTGACGTAGCATTCCATAGCCAAAACCAAAAATATTTACATATGAAGTTAGTCGACGGTTCGTCGTCAACACTGCCGCGTCTTTTGCGTTTAATTGTGGAAGTTTAAGTTAAAATTGTGATAAATTTTCTAGGAAATTATTGAAGGGTGAGATAATTATTACCAGATATGTAGTCTGTGAAGTGTTAAACTTTTGATTTTGGACCAGAGGTAAGTTTGCACATGCTCGATTACGTTACAAAAAAACAAAGGTTATTTGTTGCGATGATTGGTTCAAAATATCAATAAATAGCAAGTAAATATCTTTAAGATTAAATAGTTAAACAAATTTTATATATGCTTCATACAATAATCTCGAGAAATATGATTTTAAAGACACCGAGTGCCGTCATGTTGCTCCCTCCCTGTCTTACGATAGGGGGCGCGACAGATAACGCATCATCGCGATTATTGCGTTCGACAGCTGAAGGGATAAGCATCGAAGGCATTTATATTTCATACTGTTAATAAGTCTATTAATACGAGATTTCATGGTTTTCATGACGGGCTGCTACTATAACACACGATGACGACAAAAATGCAAGAAGGACATACCAATTGCATCGTATTTTAGCCATAGAGGTATAAGAATAGAGTGGGGAAAGCGGCTCTTACAGTGTCCGTCTATTAGAAAGAGAAAGAAGATGAGAGACCGCTGGCTATCTCTCTTGTGACGCATGGCATCCAATGGCATCACATCGAAATCGTAAGATGCTTACGGTTGCCGATGCGCATGCGCGATTAGAGAGAGAAAGCTAGCTGTTTCTTATCTTCTTTCTCTTTCTATTAGAGGGACACTTCCACTTGTAGTAGAGTCTATGTCTCCCCTACTCTATTCTTACCTCTATGCTTTTAGCGCTAGTTAAAGTATCGCGTTTATAAAATAGTTCTATGACTTTGTCAGGTGGAAGCAGGTGGAGGGGCCGTGGATCCGGAAGCTGACGTCACAGTTCGTCTCGCTCGCGGGGGTGCCGGGTTCGGGTTCCGGATCGTGGGAGGCACTGAAGACGGCAGCAGAGTCGCCGTGGGATACGTAGTGCCAGGTAAATTCATAAACACAGGTAACTTTTAGTTTTTTTTTAATACTCTCTAGACTGGAAAGCGAGTTTGGCTGCAATCGTTAAAGTTAAGCAACTTTCGTAGTGGTCGGTCATTGGATGGGTGACCAAAAATCGTCTATCTCGAGTTCCTCCGTGCTTCGGAAGGCACGTTAAGCCGTTGGTCCCGGCTGCATCTGCAGTCGTTGACACCCGCCAATCTCCCTATTCCATCCATAGGGAAGGCTTGTGCCCCAGCAGTGGAGACATTAATAGGCTGATGATGATGATGATGGAATACTCTTTAGACTGGAAAGAGGGATAGTGTGAAGGAGACGAAGCTGTTTAGCGGACAGATTTCGTGATCGAATTTAATTGACAGCTGACTAAAAAGTGCCATCTGTTGACAAAATCAGTTGTTTAGTCGGTAATAGCGTAGAGAAATTCTTTGTTCATGCTTAATACATTTCAACATAAATATTCAATATTGTCAACTTTTTTCCTGTAGCAAATAATTTGTGGCAATATCATAAGAATCTAATTAAAACAAGTTTCAACGGGTTAGATGCACTGATTTTATTTATTTATCGACGTTTCGCATCCTTTGCAAGAATACGTCGTCGGAATAATGATTTACGGTAGTTAGGTCAAATAAATAAACTCAAAATTATAAAAAGGAATTAAATACAGCGTTTTACTAATTAAATTAGCTAATAAATTCATATACAAACGATAAAGTTAAATCTTCCAATGAATTATCCGAACGCTCAATAAAAGTCTTTCGAAGGTAGCTCGGCAAAGTAAACTTAACATCAGGTGGGGTGGAGTCGTTTGTCGGACATATCTATAAAAAAATAAAACATTATTCCGACGACGCATTCCTGCAAAGGATACGAAACATCAATAAATAAATAAGATCAGTGCATCTAACCCTTTGAAACTTGTTTTATTTAATAAGTGATGTGCGTGAAAACCTAAGAAACAACTATCATAAGAATCTATTTTTATCCAGGTGGTCCAGCAGACGGTCTGCTAAGGCCGGGAGATCTTCTCACATCGGTCGATGGTATTCCTCTAGCGGGAGCGACGCATGCTAGAGCCGTCGCCTACGTCTGCCAAGCAGCTTCTAGAGGCCATGTAAGTTGACTTTTTTAATTAATACTGTAATTATCTGCGGAAACTATTAATTGGCCTTGAACATTTTTTTAGCACCCTCACCAATTGGCCTAGCCCCAAAGTAAGCACTGTAAGGCTTGTGTTAGGGGATACTAGGGTAACGGATAGAATACATATACTGTACATATATAAGTATATTTATATAGAAAAACAAAATTAAACATCATTAAGAAAAACATAATGACTGGAGTACAAATGCTAATTCATTACACAAACACCTGCCCCCACCGGGATTCGAACCCGGGACCCGGCATATAAACCACTCGGCTACTGAGGTATGCAGAATGGCAAGTAAGAGAAACTAGCTGTAAGTTTCCTAAAAATTGTAAAAAAAATTAAGCTTGCGGGTGACGATAGCTGATTTGTTTTATTTACTTTTAAAAATTGAACTAGAGTACGATATTAAAACAATTAATCTTTCTCATTGCACTGTTTTATTATAATTATATGTATAATCTACGTAGTTTATTTACATTATGTATTTTTTTAAAACTTGGTAGAGATACAATTGTCTTGGTGAGTCCCAGAAAATAATTAATTCGCAAAGTGGGCATACTACCAAACTGGCTTGAGAACCTGTGCTGTGCTTTTGTTACTAAATTTTTTATATATCAGATGAAGTTAAAATTAAAAAAATGTCATAATGAAATAAGCTTTACATTTCACCTTTTTTATAATAGGGAAGATGCAATATTTTTATTTTTGTTTTCATTTTAAAGAATTCCATGTAGAATAAACCACAGATATATTAAAAAATTAAAACATTGTGATTTATCGGAAAAAATGCAGTTTTAAATTGACAATTTAAATTTTCGCGCGAAAACGAACCTATGGTTGCGATGACGTCACTCCTGTCAGTCACTGGTCGTAATTGTTCGTTGCTGGCTTTAAAATTTCATACTTTTGCATATTTTTTCGACTTTCGAAATTTTTTTTGAAAAATTTAATATCTACTATCCATCAACATCATGTGATCATAACAATACCACTAATATTCCGAAAAAAAGCCGTGTTGACTCATGTTTTGTGCCAATCTACTTCAACAAAGTTTCCAAATAAATTGTTTTTGACTGGAACTTCTGACCCAAAACTGAAAAAAAAAGTGGTTTCAAGCTGCGAAGAGAAATGACAATTATTCTCCAAAGACCATTATTCGATGCTGAGAAGATCACTTTGACGTATGTCGGCGAATATACTTGTTATATGCTTAATTAATGTGCTTGTACGTAAAAACGCATTAGTAACCTACCTAATAAAACCTGTCTATAACATATTTTTAATTTTACAGTTGGAGAATGACGTCGAAAATTAGATAAAGTTTAAAATGTGTAGCACAATCTTCACATTGGCAGGACTGAACCAAGCTTTGCGTTTCATTTAAAATAACTGTAACACGATAACCTTCTTTACGTACTTTATGCTCCGGAGAACTCGACCTTTTACTGTACATAATTTTCCATCTCTTTTAATTTGGACATAGCCGATTGCATTATCGCCGTAAGATTTGTAGAAGCCGCTGAATAAAATACGAAGTTTAACAACTACGATTTTTACATACCGTAGTAATTTAGTCCCTTTCATTTCTACACTTAAAAACTCTGCACTTTGGACAAAAAAAGTTATAACCATGTCAACGCTAACTCTTGGTAAATTCCTGGAGTCTGATTTGATAAACGCAACTTCCATTTTTATTAAATGTAAAAAAACGCAATAAATATTCCCATAAAATAATATTAACTTTAACAACCATAACCTCAAAGAAGTTGTCATAACAGGAGTGACGTCACTAAACGCTGATTGGTGTTTTAATATACGTTCCGTTTCAAGTATTTTTAATTCGTAATAATTGTTAAAAAATAACATTATGTAAAATAAAAACGTTGCATTGGCATTTCTTTTATATTTTTTTAACATTTTAATCATAAAATTTTCATAAATATTATATATACATCTTCCCTATTATAAACTTGTAAAGGCATTGATGTCGATTCTGGCATGATTCTCTAAACTGAAAACTCAATTTAACATCAGTCTCTCCTTTTCATTCTGTATAGAGAATGACAAGGATACACTGTTGTCAAATTTAAGCTTAGGTTTAGAGAATCATGCTAGAATTGACACCATTGGTATATTAATTAATATTTTAATAATATTTTTCTAGGTAACATTGGGTGTAAGACACAACCGAGCTGATATCCAACCGTTAGGGCTGCCATCTATGGTGGCCCCGCATCCACACCAAACATTAATGGCGTAAGTATTACCAAAAAATACATCACTGCTTCGGTTTTTTTGTATTTATGAATCTTTCCTTTTATCATAATCGATATCTGTTTCTTAGGTTTTCACGCACATCACTCATTAAATAAAACTAGTTTTTCACGGGTTAATGCACGAAACTTTATTTATTTATTGATGTTCTCTGACGAAGCAGCCTGTAAAGGCTGCGAAACGTCAATAAATAAATAAAGTTTCGTGCATTAACCCGTGAAAAACTAGTTTTATATAATCTTTATCATTTTTCATCATATACGACATAATAATAACTTTTTTTTTGCCGTGACTTTATCAGCCTGTAACTGGGGTAACTTTTTATACTTCGATAAAAAAAATATAAAGACTTAAAAAAATCAATTTCTTGGTACTTTATTGTATTGAGTGTGTGTATAATATAAATTCGATTTATAAATATTTGCAACACTCAGACCAATTAGTCTAGCGTAAAAGTACGCACTGTAGGCTTGTGTTATGGGAAACCACAGTAACGGATAGAATATAAGTGTATTTATACAGATATACATATCAAACATCCATGCCTGGAGTACAAATGCTGGTATTCATTACATATTCATCAGCCCCCATCGGGATTCGAATCCGGGACATTGCGAGTAGGCGACACCTTGAAATCCGGCATTCAAAACCACTCGGTCACTGAGGTCAATCATATATGCTTTGTAAAAATTAAAATTAATAAATATTTTAGAGCTGAGCCGCCACCACATCATATGCCACCTGCTTCATACAATATACTACATCCAGCACCCATGTACCCGCCTGCCGCACATATACCTATGTGAGTCATATATATGAATATACAGGGTGTAAAAAGACCTATGACAAAGACTAAAACTACGCATTCTGTACACCCAAACAAGTAATATTACAAAATATTATATGTGGGAATCATTTGTATTGTTAAGTTAAAAAATACATTTTTTTTCCAGTACGCAATGTATAGCGCTAAAAAAATGATTGTCATGATGTGAAGAATATGTAGCCTTCGACTTCATTAAAGGATTTTCAACACCCTGTATATGAGGAGCTGGCAAACAAAACGGTTTAATTACGCATCTGATTAAACTACTTTTTACAGTCCGGATGTATTGGGCCCGCTGAATTTGAATTTCAACTGATTTTCAATCAAAACCGCCTAAAGCCGTGTTAAAATTACTAAAATTGTAAAAAAAAAACTACGAAAAAAGCTCACTGTAGGTTTGTCATACAGTTTTTTACAGCTACTGTAAAAAAAATATATTTAATTATACCGTTTTGTTCGTCAGCTGTCTGCATTTGTTTTCAAAGTAACCAATAAGTAAGGTCCACTCGAAGCTCCATCTTAAGCCACTCCAGCAAAAGTGTTTTGAAAACATTCAACGAAAACGCATACACAAAACTTTGTTTCTGTAACATGTTTCTCTACACACGTTGTCTACTGCTCACTTAGCTATCGTACACAAAACACACAAGGCTACGTTCAAAAACTACGATCCAGGTGTTACAAATGTGAAATTTGACACAAGTTTCGTACATTTTATATCAAAATTGAAACGTCCAAAGTGAAAAGTTGTATTTGGAGCATAGATTTGAAACGCAGCCCCCGCTAGCGAGTTGTCCAAAAAAATGGTCCATGAAACAATACCCTGCCCCTCGACCCGCGCGGGGAGGTTTTCTGTACGTGTTATCCATCGGGGCTCGGAAAGCAAAAACATTGTCGATGCAAACAAATATAAATATTTATATTTCCAACAAACACTTACACCAATTAGCCTAGCCCCAAGCTAAACACTATAAGGCTTGTGTTATGGGATACTAGGGTAACGGATAGAATACATATACTCTGTACATATATAAGTATATTTATATAGAAATACATATTAAACATCCAAGACTGGAGTACAAATGCTCGTATTCAACACACAAACATCTGCCCCCACCGGGATTCGAACCCGGGACCTCTCGAGTCAGCGACACCATGAAACCCGGCTTACAAACCACTCGGCCAAGGAGGTCGTCAAAAAATATGTTTAGTGAAACAAAGTTTTGTGTAGACTATTTTGTTTTGACTGTGTAGGGCAAAATACGCCCTAGACCCACACTTATTATTATTACACTAGCAAACCAGTGAACCAAATGTTCACCAAAACTTGATTTAAAAAAAAATGTATTTAATTAATTGAGAACTTCGGAGATTTTGTGTGGTTTCGTTTGAAATTCGTGATTTCTCGAAAACCGGAAGTGCTACGTTACTCAAATCCGGTTTATAGTCTTATCAGACTATTCTTAACTTATAACTTAGACATTCTCTTTATCTATCTCTTACGGTTTGGCCGCTGAAACAGCACCACAGACAGACGGACGGACGGACTTGTTTATTAGATAAGAGATTAGCACTCACATGGCTATTCGTGTTTGATATTTGTAAACTTTACATCAGTCTGTCCTTTTTATTCCTTACTAGCAGTGCCCCGCGGTGTTACCCGTGGTTTATTAGCATTATTTTCCCGCAGCAAAACGTAGCCTATGTGTTAATCCAGGGTGTCAGCTAACTCCATACCAAATTTGATTAAAATCGCTCCAGCCGTTTAGTAATGCTCAGTAAATTCTTTATCCATACTTCATAAATAGGGAAGGCTTATTCCCCAAAACTGAGGACATTTATTATTGAGGAGCTCGATGGCCCAGGTGGCTAGTGCGTTCGGCTGCGATCGCTGAAGTTAAACAACTTTCGCAATGGTCGGTCATTGGATTGGTGACCAAAAATCTTCTATCTCGAGTTCCTCCGTGCTTCGGTACGTTAAGCCGTTGGTCCCGGCTGCATCTGCAGTCGTTAGCACCCGCCAATCCGCACTGGGCCCGCGTGGTGGGTCATGGCCTAATCTCCCTATTCCATCCATAGGGTAGGCCTGTGCCCAAGCTGTGGGGACATTAAAAGGCTGATGATGATGATGTTGAGGACATTTATAGGCTGATGATGGTAATACTGTTAATGGCATTAGGTACGGTGGTGTTCCATACGAAGCAACGGCCGGATGGGCTCCGACCCCATATGATGTAACGGTGACGCGGTCCGAGGGCGAAGGTTTCGGGTTCGTGGTCATCTCTTCTACCAACAAGGCCACCAGCACTATTGGTAAGCAAAATATCTATATATATAAAACTCAAAGGTGACTGACCGACTGACATAGTGATCTATCAACGCACAGCCCAAACCACTGGACGGACAGGGCTGAAATTTGGCATGCAGGTAGATGTTATGACGTAGGCATCCGCTAAGACAGGATTTTGAACAATTCTACCCCGAAGCGAAGCGAGGGCGGGCCACTAGTATCTAATAAAACTCAATGGTGACTGACTGACTGACATAGTGATCTATCAACGCACAGCCCAAACCACTGGACGGATCGGGCTGAAATTTGGCATGCAGGTAGATGTTACGACGTAGGCATCCGCTAAGAAAGAATTTTGATCAATCCTACCCCCAAGGGGATAAAATAGGGAATGAAAGTTTGTATGAAACTTTGTCAATTTTAAACCGATCGGGCTGAAACTTTGCATGCAAGTATTAGAAGAATCATAGATAAATGTCATTGTGTATAATACAAGCCTGAGAACAAAAACTGTAGTCTACACTTCAGCTTTACACCGAAGCGAAGCGAGGGCGGGCTGCTAGTAATAAATCTTTTTGTAGTAAAACCTCTATAAAAACAAGGAATTAGGATTTTGCTGTCACGAAAAAGCGTAACGGCTGCGTGGAGGGTAACGATATATTGCGCGGTGAGAGGCTGATGACGGAGAGGGGGGGGGGGGGTGACTCTGTACGTTGTCGCTCACACCTGAGAGCAACGACGCAATCAGAACCAAGTTTTGGTAAAGTTATGAACATTTGATCACACATATCTGTCGCGCGCTTGCCCCGCCCACAAGGCCCCTCTAACCTCTTTATATGATCTGTGGGTAGAGTCATTTGTCTACCTAACTATAAAGAAAACAGTGTGCACGGACCACTCAACTGAAGTGAAACGGCTTTTTTTGAATAACCTTACATTAGGCGGTTTATGAGGCGCAGAAATAGAGCAGCGCCCGTATCACTCATATAATGATGATATGTAAATATATATTGTCGTGTGTGAAGCTCGTAGCGTTTCAGCCTTAGCCGAGTTACCCTTCAATGCTCGTCGGGAAGAGCTGCGCACGCATCTCACACACATACACATTATATTATATATTTCATCTTTTCCATTGGACTTTTCCATTTACACCCCGTCCAAAATGAAGTTTCATTCAAAAACACACCACTTGCGCAAGTCGTCATGAAAATACGGCATCTTATCATCAACTATTATAATGTTAGTGACCGTCAGAGTTCGACTCTTATAACCAACGATATTAAATACCCAAGATACAATATCACGAACAAAATCGTGCGCGAAATCTGTCCAACAGGTACATTGAACGATCCACGGAGCTCCGTAAGATGATCGCGTAGTCAAAAACAATATAAGGCAATATTTAATCATTGAAAGTCACCTTAAATGCATACGGTATAAGGTCTTAATTAAAATGCATGCGTCAAAGAGTTATGACAGTTTGAAATGCAAGCTTGTAAAATTTTACGGCTTACTGCTATATGGGGAAGAATATTGACCTTATTTCTTTGTCTCTACGCGCAATTTTGAATGCGCTCTTAACAAGATATCAAATACGGACTGCGACGAAAAGAGACGGCTATATTACCGACCATGCATTTGAATGTCACAAATATTTTATATTAAATCAGTTATATTAAACCAGTGTTGGCATCACATAAAATACACATTTACTATCTGTTGTTTGTTTGTTTTTTGTTGTTGTTAACTTTACTTGTACGTTTTGTTTTACTTTATGTTAAATGTATTTTTATGTGTATGTTATGTGTTGTCAGCAATAAAAACATTTTTCTTTTCTTTCTTTCTATAGTAAGTATTAGAACAAAATTTGCTTCAAATGCGTTAAATTAACAAACATCGGTTAGATACCTGTTGAAAAAACGACACTACGTACTATAAGTATTTGTTTCGCATTTTTTCACGGAGCTCTGCGGCATCTTGACTTTTGAACGGTCCGCACGTGACTGTGAACCAAGAAGTATTTGAGTGATGTTCAAGCACTTCTTGATTGGGACACATTTTGAGCGCACTTAGTGTATCTAGGTTATTTAATATGGTTACTTATAACTTAATATTGTTTCGTTCAGGCCAACTGATCCCCAACTCGCCAGCGGCCCGTTGCGGTCTCCTCCACGTCGGCGACACAATAGTAGGCATCAACCATCTTCCTATAAGAAACCTGCCGCACCCTGAAGTGGTGGCTCTCATCAAACACTCCGGCACCACCGTCACGCTCACAGTGCTGCCACCTGCCGCCGTCCGAGACTGATATACGGCCACTGATGACTATAGCCTTATAGTCACTTATCAGCTAGTGAGGAACAAGGATCTGAAGGTATACGCGATGCCTGATATTTAAGATACTAGTAAAAACTGATTCTTGACTGTAGTCTTTAAAAATGATCTTTACGACATTGTAAATCTGGTTTTTTAGTCTTTGACAGCTTTGTCTTTTGTCCACACCCCTTGACTATCTACTACAATCTTTACAGCATTCTACGTCTACTTTTTTAGTTATTGACTGCAATCCTATACTTAAACCTCTCCCCTGCAGTCTTTTACTAAAGTCTTCTACAGAGTCTTCAATGGCAACGTTTAAACTATCAATATCAAAGTATTCTATCAATCCAACATTCTACAGCAGTCCCAGGGTCACAAAGTCACTACTTAATAATTATCGGCTTGTCTCCTCTAATAGCAGCCTTTCGCCACGGTCTTCACATTTCCTGATGCTCACGATTCTGTGTGAAATGGAGTTGTCTTTTTAAGTGCTCTGCAGCCTTTTAGTGCAATCTTCTATCGCATTTTACATCTGTTTTTATTGTAGTCTTTGTCTGCAGTCCTTTATTGGCAGTTCTTCCCTGAAGGCCTCTATGGCATATTACATCTAACTTTAACTGCAACTATTTAGCTGTCTGCAGTCTTGGACAGCCGCAAAGTTACAATGTCACCATTGAATAATGTTTGGGTTGACTACCGTCTACTGCAGTCTTCTGAATACCGCATGATCACAAAGTCACTACTGAGCAATGATTGGCTTATTTGTCATCCTATAACACTATAGCAGAGAAATACCTTCTATATAGAAAGTCATTGATAGTGGTCATGAACCATCTTCATCTAACTCAAAACTGTTCTAGATGTAAATATATACGATTAAAATCCTCTATAGCAGCTCTTGACTGTGGTCAAGACTGTAGTCAATGATCACAGAGTCACTACTGAGCAATGATTGGCTTATTTGACATCGAATAACGATGCGTCGACACCGTAGTAGGCAAAACCTTCTATATAGAAGGTCTTTAATAGTAGGCACCAACCATCTTCCTATAAGAAACCTGCCGCATCCTGAAGTGGTGGCTCTCATCAAACACTCGGGCACCACCGTCACGCTCACAGTGCTGCCACCTGCCGCCGTCCGAGACTGATATACGGCCACTGATAACTATAGCCTTATAGTCACTTATCAGCTAGTGAGGAACAAGGATCTGAAGGTATACGCGATGCCTGATATTTAAGATTCTAGTAAAAACTAATTTAGATGTACGATTGAAATCCTCTATTTGACTGTAGTCTTTAAAAATGATCTTTACGACATTGTATATCTGCGTTTTTAGTCTTTGACAGCTTTGTCTTTTGTCCACACTCCTTGACTATCTACTACAATCTTTACAGCATTCTACGTCTACTTTTTTTAGTCTTTGACTGAAATCCTTAATTTAAAGCTCTCCCCTGCAGTCTTTTACTAAAGTCTTCTACAGAGTCTTCAATGGCAACGTTTAAACTATCAATATCAAAATATTCTATCAATCCAACATTCTACAGCAGTCCCAGGGTCACAAAGTCACTACTTAATAATTATCGGCTTGTCTCCTCTAATAGCAGCCTTTCGCCACGGTCTTCACATTTCCTGATGCTCACGATTCTGTGTGAAATGGAGTTGTCTTTTTAAGTGCTCTGCAGCCTTTTAGTGCAATCTTCTATCGCATTTTACATCTGGTTTTATTGTAGTCTTTGTCTGCAGTCCTTTATTGGCAGTTCTTCCCTGAAGGCCTCTATGGCATATTACATCTAACTTTAATTGCAACTATTTAGCTGTCTACAGTCTTGGACAGCCGCAAAGTTACAATGTCACCATTGAATAATGATTGGGTTGACTACCGTCTACTGCAGTCTTCTGAATACCGCATGATCACAAAGTGACTACTGAGCAATGATTGGCTTATTTGTCATCCTATAACACTATAGCAGAGATATACCTTCTATATAGAAAGTCATTGATAGTGGTCATGAACCATCTTCATCTAACTCAAAACTGATCTAGATGTAAATATTATATACAATTGAAATCCTCTATAGCAGCTCTTGACTGTAGTCTTTAACTATGATCTTTACGACATTGTAAATCTCTTTTTTAGTCTTTAACAGCTGTCGACACCCTTGACTATCTACTACAATCTTTACAGCGTTCTACATCTAGTTTTTTAGTCTTTGACGGCAGTGCTCCAGCCTTATAGTCACTTATCAGCTGGTGAGGAACAAGGCTCTGTAGGTATACGCAATGCCTGATATTTAAGATTCTAGGAAAAACTGATGTAGATGTATTGGAAGTCGTCTGCAGGCTTTTATTGCAGCTTTCTGCTACTCATTTTACCAAGATCTTCTATAGCATTCTACATCTCGTTTTATGCAGCTGTTGAGTCCTCTAATAACAGCCTTTCGCCACGGTCTTCTCATTTCCTGATACTCACGATTCTATGTGAAATGGTGTTGTCTTTTTTTAAGTGCTCTGCAGCCTTGTAGTGCAATCTTCTATCGCATTTTACATCTGTTTTTACTGTAGTATTTGACTGCAGTCCTTTATTCGCAGCTCTTCCCTGAAGGCTTCTGTAGCATATAACATCTAATTTTAACTGCAACCATTTAGCTGCCTGCAGTCTTTTGACAGCCGCAAAGTTACAGTGTCACCATCAAATAATGATTGGGTTGTCTGCCGTCTAATGCAGTCTTTTGTCTGTGGCAAGGTCACAAAGTCACTATTAAACAATGATTGACTCGTTCCGTATCTAATGACGCGGCATCGACAATCTTTTTATACGGAACCTGCCTTAGGCACATAGGCCTCTTCAAAGCTGATGCCTGATATTTAAGAATCTACGTAAACTCGACTTAAACTACATTAAAGTCTGCTTCAAACTAATTACAACCTCATAGTCACGATTGACTAATTTGTCGACTATAATAACCATAAAAATCTAGTTTTTGATAGTAATTTCTCAAGCCATTTTTAAGTAGACTAAATTTTCTACAATGTGAGACTAGAAGTTTCTCTGTTGACCCTATAAAGAATGGAAAAGAATATATCAATTGATATACCTATATTAATTATTTCATTCATATAATGGTTTGTACGAGCATATTAAATGAAAGACATACTTATAGTTTTGATATCAGTACAACAGTTTCTATATTAAAATATAGTGTTGCTGTTGAGATTGTAAAGTTTAGAGAAATTAATTAAAAATAGTGTATGTATATTCATAGCCAGACGATTAGAAATATAAATATGGAAATACTGCATTGTAATATAAAAAATACGACGTTATATTTTTATAACATTATTCTACTGACGTCTGTGCCAAAACATTGTATTTTAGCAGCTAACATTTTTATGTTTTATATATTAATAATAGTACTTGGTAATAGTATTTTTTGTATTTAAATGCATTTTATCTAATGACTTTTCCCATCCTATGTCCTGTTTGACATGTCCAGTAGTAAACCATAAGTATTTTATAAATGTTTCTCCAAGTTTTATAAATATATCAAAATGTTTTACTATATTGTAACATTTTTTAAAACTATATATGTGTTGTATATGTCTCGGAAAGCATTAACTTTCTGATGATTAGTAATGATATTAAACATGTATGTTCGGTAGTTAAGTAGGTATGCCTGTCCTATTTAATATTGGGAACATGACAGCTGCACTAAGGAACTTTAATTAATGTATGTTGTCATCTCTGAACAAGAACTTAATTATTTTTACATATAGACCAAAAGAGGGACAATTATATGGTGCTATGAACAGCGCTCGAAAAACATAAAATTGGATACCTTTGTATGAATTGTGGATACACTGGTCACCTTTCATACCGAATCAAAAAGTGATCGAATGGCCAATGCAAACCTGCCATCATACCTCTGATACTTTTTGGTTGGGTAATACCCACTTTGTTTGGAAATCTTTTCTTCAATCTATTGTCTATGGGAGTGTACGCACAAACCTCATAGCATTACTTTTATTCTTATGTTACCCCTCGTTAACACCAATGTATAATACATGTATTTCATAAATATTATACAATATCTTAATTTTTTGTTCATACTTAAATACATCTATAAAACATCTATTTTATTATTAATTTCTTGATTATACTTTCTAAGTAATTAATGTATATTGTAGCAGGGCTTGTAACCGGTTTCGAAAATACCGGTAAATAAAGGTTAATACCGGTTTTAGTAAAGGTTTCCTTCGGAGCGGGTCCGAAATGAAAGCGGTACCTAAAACCTTAATAAACCGGTTTAATCAAGAGCGACACGTGCACGCGTCGGCATCGCTTGAAGTTTGTTCTGTTTGAACTAATTAAGTCACAACTTGTTAATGCTCAGACATTGGTGCATTTATTGACACGTTCGCTAGCGTCTAGCGAGTCATCATTTTGTAGTTGTGTACTTGTGTACTGACACACTTCTTCACTCACTCGATCTGTAGTTGGAAATAAACTGAGATAAAATCATTATAAATTTGATTTGAAACGGCGAAGGCGATGCCGTCAGTAAGAGTGAAATGAAACCCTTTAAAACCGCTAAATTGATTCAAAACCTATTTGATTTCGCTTTTTATGAAAACCGGTTTTTTTAAGGTTAAGGTGGAGCCAAAAAAAAACCTAAATAAAACGCTCCTAATATACTTGATACTGATAAAGGTTTGAAAAATTAACCGGTAAACAAGCCCCGTATTGTAGTAATGCATTATATGTGAAACAAAGTATCATGAAAATTACATCGTCCAGTTAGGAATGTGAAAATTAAGTGTATGATTCTCCATATGCTGTTATTAAATAACAAATACTGAAAACGTTTAGTATACAATACTTGGATCAAACTTGTTGGATAAACCAAGTATATGATTTATACTTGTAAGATACTAATTGTCTTTGAAGTGTGTAAACGAAAGAATGTTTTAAACAGCCTCAACAAGTATTCTACAAGTTTTGTTTAAAACTAGTATACGACTTGTTTCTTGGTGAAAACGAGGGGTTAGGTTGTCGTTTTCTATTCTAATTCCCAAAAGGGTAACAGCGTAAACTCGAATCAAAATTAATTAAAGTTTCTGAGTGCATTTGTATGAGAAAAATGTACTTTATCGAAAGCTTTAATGCGTATGCTATGCTGTTTAAAATTCTAAATGTAGGTTTATAAATTTATCAATCTTCCATGGAATATCGTATCCCATCACTGACTTCCGTCCAAATTGTGAACCTTTTCAAAGATAGATACCTAGTTTAAAAAGTGACTTTCGCATTTTTCTACTTAGTAAGCAATGACTTTACCATAGGTTGTAAGTGTTGCCTTTAACATAAGTATTTTAAAGTACGTATATACATAGCTCCGCCTAGCAAAATATCTCATTTGGCATAGTTGATCTTTTTCTCAAATTTTCCTCATCATCAGCCTATTAATGTCCCCACTGCTGGGGCACAGGCCTTCCCTATGGATAGAATAAGGAGATTGGGCCATGACCCACCACGCGGGCCCAGTGCGGTTTGGCGGGTGCTAACGACTGCAGATGCAGCCGGGACCAACGGCTTAACATGCTTTCCGAAACACGGAGGAACTCGAGATAGAAGATGTTTGGTCACCTATCCAATGACCGATCACTGCGAAAGTTGCTTAACTTCAACGATCGCAGCCAAACGCACTAACCATTTGCGCCATCGATCTCCTCGTGAATTCTACTAATGAAATGAAATTATACTTTTTTCAAATTGATTTATTGAAAGGTCTTTTGAATCTTCCAATATTTTTTCCTACTACCCATACAACAAGACATCTTTTAGCTGATGAGAAGAATGGAAGCAAGATAGTGTCGTCTTTTAGGTTGATGTTGATAGACTAAGAACTCACGGCGCGATTACCTCACGCGCCTGCCGCGCTCGTGGTTTTTTGGAATGTAACAGTTCCGCCGTCGCCCGCTGCGAGTGCGGGAAAAACGCTTCGTAAATAGGGTATTTGACAAGTTTTAGAAAACGATCTCACGTTATTTACTAATGTTTATAGAGTCCATAAAAAGTGGATATTCATCATTATGTTGTGTATTTCGGTAAAAAAACCAAATCAAAAACGATATTTTCAAGTTGCCGCGAAAAACGTATCTTTGGACAATATGGCGTCTCACTGGTGTGTGACGTCACACGACTGTCAGTATAATGTCAAACCATACAATCAAATGTCACTTTAACCGGAAGTTTACTTGCGTGTGACGTCATTTTAGGCTCCACCATTCCCAAGCGTTTTGGGTCACGTGACAATAGACAAGAAAACTATTAGCTTTATCGTGAGTTTTTAGTAAAATTATGAATATTTTTTCTGTAAAAATAGTAAAAACTCCTGCCAATATTCATTCTAAATACAGATGCTAAAAATTGGCACTTTATTTTTAATACTGTCAAATACCCCATTCTCAGCCCTAACGTGCGCCTTCGGATATATCGTGATTGTCATCGTCATCCATCCTGTATAGTTAGTACGTGATACAACAAAGTTCACGATATATGGATTATCGATTTTAGGGCTTACGCTGCGTTAAGCGGCAGCATGGAGCAGACGTCCGCTCCGCGTGCAGTTTCTTGTCATTTCATAGAACAGCGCTGATCTATGAAATGACTAACACAAACACGCGGAGCGGACGTCCGCTCAGTACTTCCGCTTAACGTAGCGCACGCCTTTAAAAAAAATAGCCCATATTTATAGTGTTCGCATCTGATATTCATATTATTATAGTGTATGCACATGGATAAGTAAACATAACTTTAATACAAAAAATCATTTTGTATATGGCAGCTATAAAATCAGTAGGTACTTAAATTATTTATCTACTACTGAGCATGAAAGCTCTAGAAAACTAGCAATAATCATTTGAAGGAATGATATAGACATGTATAAAATTTAAATACAAATTTCCTTAATCTACTTATAAATAATATCTTATTTACTTTCCTTTTCTTTAACTTTGCATAAGTTTTTCTTACGGTAATCAGTTCTAATCGTTATTTTTATTTTTCTCAATCATCGTAATTTTGAGTCCTTCTTCCATTTAGTTTTTAAGGTAGAAGTTTACTGCCAAAACATTATGAATATGTAGCAATTGTTATTATTATGAATCTAAAATGGAATTTTGCTGTTCTGTAAATATAATTCCTTTTATTTCTTGCTAGTTGTTATAATTCTTCTTTCAATAAATATGTACTACTAATGTTTATTAATAAATGTGTAGACTTAGGATTCATTATTAATAGCGGACTGGACTGAACTTATTGTTTGTAATAATTTGATTCTTTATGTAATAATGTAGTTCGATTATGGATAAAAATAATTCTCTTTATATCTCATAAGAAAACCACCGAGCTTTTATTGTGTTTTATTTGTAAGTCTTTAATTGTACTCCCTAGTGTGTAAGATTGCAATATTTTTGTGCCTTTCAACGGTGTCTTGCCTTGTAAAATAGTAAAATGAAAAATCTTGCTCACTGTAATTAATCTATTTACATAATTGTTATTCCAAAGATATCCTCGAACAATCTGCAATTGAAATCGTCTCCAATGCATATTACAATAATGTAAGAGTTTTTATAAATAATGAGATACAGATTAAATCAATAAATTTATTTTTTATTTAATTGTGGTCTTTTAATTTTTATAATACTTTTGTTTGAGATCACCTATAAAATTATGGATCATTATAGTTCGCCAAAAGTTCCCTTAAACTGGTTAAAAAAGATTTAAATCTTATAATATTGTAAATATACCCTAAATAATATGTTGGCACCACTGGGAATGGACAAATTGTTCGTAAGCCCTACCAGAAAAATGATCAAAGCGGCATAATAAAAAATACAAGTGGAACTCAGTAATTGTCGATACAACTTTATGAGTAAAGCCACATATTACTTGATAGTAACCAGAGATGTTACTTATCTTAGATAAAAGTATCTAAGATACAGATAAAATAAAATACGTATTTGTAGAGTTAAGAAACGGAACGCGTCTGAATATGACAGCTGTCATATAAGATAGTTTTCAGCGCTCTTTTACTTGTCATCCAGGAGTGAATAATAAAGCATGTGTTTGATTAAATTCGTATTTAATTTAATGTGATACAACCGTGATGTAACGAACCAGACAATTTTGGCGACGAGGATAACACAGTGTTGCGTGAAATTACCACGAAAATCGGCATTCAGGGGTGGATGACATGGAGTATACGTTGGGGGCCGCGGGGCCTATTTTCAATCCCTTTGGTGAACCAAACACGGGAGAGCGATGGAAAGCCTGGCTCAGGAATTTCGAATATTACATAGATGGTCAAATTGGACTTAGTGATAAACAAAAAGTAAGTAGATTATTACATCAAGCGGGACCAGAAGTACAGGATATCTATGAGGCGCTCAAAGACGAAAATGTCGAAGGTTCTAACGAGTATGAAAAATGTAAGCTCAGGTTAACAAACTACTTTCAACCGGAAGTAAACACCGCCTACGAAAGGCAGAAATTTCGAAACATTTGTATGGAAAATGAAACTGTGGACAAATTCGTTTTGAGGTTACGAAAACAAGCTACATACTGCGACTTTCCTGATGTCGAGGAAGCGATAAGGGATCAACTTGTAGAAAAATGTGTCAATACAGAACTTAAGAAGAAATTTTTAAAGAAAGGAAGAAATCTTACTTTAGCCAAGTCTTTAGAGATAGCCAGACTATTTGAGTTGGAAGAAAATATGTTTGTTCATTCCATGAAACAAGAAAAGGAAGAACAAAGAGAAGCGTCCGTGAATAGAGTGGCGCAGAATTTTATTTGTTACAGGTGTGGACATAAAGGACATACAGCAAAGGATAGTAAATGTCCAGCAGCATCCGAGAAATGTGACAAATGTGGACTGAAGGGACATTTTGCAAAGTGTTGCAAAACTCAAAGCTCAAAGAAACAATACACAACAGTTAAAAACAAGGATGGTAAAAGGAAGAAGAGGTATGTGAAATACATTGTTACAAATGAGAGTGATTCTGAGTCGTCGGGAGCAGATGACAATAGTGAAAGTGAGAGTGAACACATAGAAGTGAATTCAATATTTACAATAAGTAGTATGGACAATAAGTGTACAGTACTGATAGATGATAAATTTCCTTGTCAATTTATTATAGACTAGTGGCCCGCCCTCGCTTCGCTTCGGTGTAGAGCTGTAGTGTAAACTATACTTTTTGTTCTCAGGCTTGTGCTATAAAGAATGACTTTATTTATATAATTACACGTGTTATTGTGAGTCAACCATAAAAGATAGACATATGCTGTTGCGGGATATTTTTTAGACAATTTTATCCTTACACGCCTGAATAGCTCGCAGATTGCAGAATTTTTTCAGACTTAAATGACATTTATCGTTATATTTTGGACAATTCACACAATATCTTTATAAATTATAGCCTATGTGTTATTCTGATCTATAAGCTACATTACTGTAAAGTTTCATTAAAATCCGTTTAGTAGTTTTTGCGTGAAAGAGGAACAAACATCCATCCATACATCCATCCAAACAAACTTTCGCCTTTATAATATTAGTAAGGATTCTGGAGCTTCAATAAACATTGTAGACAAACACACATTTAATAAATTAATTAGTTCAGGATTTTGTTGTACACTGACAAAAAGTAAGGAAAAGTACTTTGCTTATGGAGGGAGAGAGTTAGATAAGTTAGGAATGTTTTCAACTGTATTATCTTCTCGAGTAACTGGACGCAAAGTGTATACAGATGTGTTGGTCTATAATGGTAGAGGCCCATCTCTGTTAAGTCGGCAAGCTTCAATTGAATTAAATTTATTAAGATTAGGTCCACTTTCTGCTGAAGATGGCAAAGTTTATTTGGTAAAGCCATCAATCTCTAAAGAAACTATTAGTAAAGAGTATCCAAATTTATTCCGAGGCATAGGTAAACTTAGTAATTTTAAATTGACTATTCCTGTTGATACTAATGTTAAACTAATAGCTCAACCGGTTAGAAGACAGCCATTCAATATGAGACCTATAGAAGGAAAACTGGTTAAGGAACTGTTAGACTATGACATTATAGAACCGGTGACTGGACCAACTCCGTGCGTATCCCCATCCCACATTGTAAAGAAAAAAGGACATGACCAATACCGTCTTGTGGTGGACATGAGAAAAGCAAATGAAGCAGTCTTCAGAGAACGTGTGCCACTGCCTACATTTGAAGAACTCTTAGCAGATTTAAATGGATGTAAGCTCTTTTCTACTTTGGACCTTAAATCTGGTTACCATCAGCTGGAGCTTGACGAAGGATCCAGAAACATTACAGTGTTCAGCACAAGTCTAGGACTTTTTAGATACAAGAGGCTATTCTTCGGTATAAGATGTGCATCAGAGATTTTCCAAAGAGTGATAGCGCATCTGCTTCAAGGTATTGATGGTGTTGCAAACAGCCAAGATGACATTCGAATCGGAGGGCGCACCCAAGAGGAACATGACTCCAGGTTAAAAGAGGTACTTAAGAGACTGCATGATAATGGACTGACACTCAATGCACAGAAATGCACTTTTGGAGCTTCTGAGATAACTTTCCTTGGTCACCATATTTCAGCAGCAGGCATAAAACCTACCAGGTCAAGTCAGCAGGTAATACAGGAGTTCAGAGCTCCACAGAACACGACTGAAGTAAGAAGTTTTCTAGGGCTGGTGAACTTTTCAGCTCGTTTCATACCACAATTTAGCACAATCACTGCACCATTGAGAGAGCTTACTAAAAAGGATGTTACTTTTACATGGAATGATGAGCATGAAGAAGTCTTTCAGAAATTAAAGCAACTGATAGCTTCAGCTCCTGCACTTGGATTTTATGACAAACATGCAGAAACAACGCTAGTGACAGATGCAAGCCCAGTAGGAATAGCAGCAGTTTTGATTCAGAAACAGACTATTAAAGACGAAAAACAACCTGTCATTATCAAATACATTAGTAAAGCATTATCCTCAACTGAGCAACGCTATTCCCAAACTGAAAAAGAAGCTTTGGCCATAGTTTGGGCTTGCGAAACCCTATACATGTACTTGATTGGGAAACAATTTCATATCCTTTCTGATCACAAACCGTTAGAGATAATATATTCAGCAAATTCGAAGCCTAGTGCTCGCATACAGCGCTGGGTCCTAAGATTGCAGCCATTTACATTTAAGGTGATTTATAAACCAGGACGGAACAACATTGCAGATCCAGTATCCAGGCTATTAGATATAAGTAATACTTCAATAAAAAGTACGGAAGATTATGAAGACCAGCTACTTATGGCATTGATAGACCAAAACTTATGGGCAGTCACAATGGAAGAGATAGAACAAAGTACACTAAAGGACAAAGAACTATGTGAGCTAAGACAAGCTTTTGAAACAGACTCATGGCCAAAAGAATTTAGAAAATATGAGTTAATAAAGATGGAGCTATGTGTCTTCAACAACATAATACTAAGAGGAACAAGAATAATTATACCAACTGATTTAAAAGAAAGAATTTTGGGGCTTGGGCATGAGGGACACCTATCAATTAACTCTATGATATCAAAACTTAGAGCAAAAGTATGGTGGAAAGGAATAGACAAAGATATAGAATATTGGGTAGACACATGTGAAGGATGTAGGCTGGTCAGACAAGACACATACCCAGAACCTATAGTACCAACTAATCTGCCCAGCAAAGTATGGGAATTGGTTGCTTTAGACTACCTGGGGCCTCTACCGTCAGGTCATTGTTTACTCATTATTGTAGACTACTATAGTAGGTATTATGAAGTCGAGATTCTGAGAAATCAAACAGCTGAGACAACAATTAAAACATTAGAAAATGTCATCTGCAGAGAAGGCCTTATGGATGAAATAATATGCGACAATGGGCCAGCATTTAGAGACGAACGTTTTAAAGAATTCTTGGCAACAAATGGAATAAGACTTAGGCACACCACTCCATTATGGCCTCAGGCAAATGGAGAAGTAGAAAGACAAAATAAGAGTGTTTTAAGAAGGCTTAGAATTGCCCAAGCTATGAATCTCGACTGGAAGAGAGAACTTCAAACATACCTTTTAGCATATCGGACCACTCCTCATTCAACAACTGGGATGTCTCCTGGAGATGTTTTCAGAGGACGAAAAATTAAAACTAAGATACCAGAAATAACAACAGAATTTCGTCTATATGATGAGCAAATAAGGGATAATGACAGATACAAAAAGGATTTATACAAGCAGTATGCAGATAAAAGAAGGCATGCTAAAGAATTGAATTTACAGCCAGGTGACAAAGTGCTGGTACGTCAAAAGAAGGAAAACAAATTGACTACACCGTTTTCACCTAGTGAACATACTGTACTCTGGAAAGCTGGTAACTCAGTCGCCGTCCAATCCCCGGAAGGAAAAATAGTAAGAAGAAACTCTTCGCACTTCAAGCCTATAAAGAATAGAGATCCAGGCAGATTCAGAAAAACTCATGATGAAGGAGATAGTATACACAGGAAGCAGATTGTAGAAGAAGGAGAAGCAGAAAAAAGTGGGACACTAGATTTGACAGATGAACAAAATGATGACTTGACAAACACTATGAATAGACCTCAGAGAGAGCGA